CTAATACCGCGTAAATAATGGACTATTCCGTTTTGATTATGTGGAAAGAGAGAGAGAGTAAAAGGCACTACTTGGTTTCAGCGAAAAAAATGAAAGAAAGAAAGAAGGGAAGATAGAAGTAGAGAATGAAAATCAGATTAAGGTGATAAGAACAGATACTACACTTTGATCCTAGCTAAACGTCTGTGAAAGGAACCACGATAAAAGCGTCAGTTTTCAGACGCACTGTACTGAATGACGGACATCGCCAAGAATCCAATTACCATAAATAAAATAACGTTGTCTGTTGAATTATTTTAAAATTATTATTATTATTAAGAGAAATGCTCGTAAACTGGGGATTTGGCTAGAAAGAAGGGAAAATTGTTGCGTTTTGATTGTCTAGCTAAACAAGGTTGATTTCAGGGAGAAAATGAATGAGAAAAAAATGATAGAAGTTCGGCTGTTTCAGTAAAAATGGAAAAAAGTTTTTAATTTCAAATATTTTCATTTGTACCCACTTCTTAAAATAAGTGCACACACACATACATACATATATATATATAAAACCTAGTAAGACAGGATCACTGCGGTAGTTGTTTTTATCTATAAAAATGATGCTTTGACCAGTTATACCCTGAAGATCCATTAGGTGAAACCTTGGTAGGTAGTTCATGGCTCACTAGGATTTTTATACTTTTGACCTACTTAGTGTATTGAGCACTTTTCCGTTTTTTTCTTAATCTACTTGATTGGAATTTTTCTTTTGGCTAGCCATTGCGTTATTGATTGTGTTTTTTTGTTTTTTTTTTTTTTTTGACCAGCACGGATATTTTTAGTCATTTTAAACGGTACAATATGGTAATCTGTATGGAATTTCCAGCATATAGATCCAGGGAGAGCTCTATATCAAAAGACAGTAAAATTATTATCAATTAAAGAATATCAAACACTTAAAACTCCACACAAACGCATATATATATATATATATATACACACACACAGACACACACACAGAAACATCATAACCATCAATGACAGATTGCAATAAATATATACTATAACATTAGAGTAATGTAGATACAGACAGCAATTTATATAATCCAGGTAAAAAGAGTACTTTTCTATTTTTTTTTTAAGCAGTGTTTGTGTCTGCATTTTGATATAAGTTCACTTCGAAGGTTAAGTAAATTCTCCTGGTTTTATATTTAAATTTTTTTACATATTATATTCTCCAGCAGACAAAGGTTACAACGGTCCCTAGTGTTATTAGGAGTTTGAGCTGTGGATATGATTTTCCACTCCAATTGTGTGTGAAACCTTTGTCAATAAGATCCCAATGATTTTAACTCAGAGTATTTTTTAACATTTCATTTATAATTTGTTTGTAGGTCTTGAAGATTGAGAGCTGCTTTTTTAGAGCTCTGATGAAATAAAAATTATTACCTATGGGATTTTAAATGTTTGATAGTTTTTAATTAATAATATATATATATGAAGAAATTTAGTTTTAAGGTGTGCTATATCTATGGGATAAAGTGATCAATATCAGAGATAGAGCTTATGTAAATATAAAAGTGAACATTGAAGTCAACACTCACAGGCAACAGGCTGTTTCATGCTATACGCAATTGTCAGGCCGCGAGTGTTGGATTTTTTTCTCAATTTGTTTTCTTTTTAATTGCCCAGGCTGTGCACATATTTAGTATTTGTGAAAGATGTTTTGTGTGTATATATTTCTTTGTTTGAAAACCTTCAGTTACCACCTATGTAAATTTTTTCCTAACTGTAGAATAAAGAATGAATTTCCTTTTAAATTGGTAATTTCTTACAAAACAACAATATACCAAGCCACAGTAAAATCATCAGATAATGAAGAAAAATTATACATAAGAATAACTGAAGGACCCTGGAAATAATGAAACTATGCACAAAAAACATCTTTCACAAATAGTAAATACATGAACAGCACAATGCTTTCTCTCTGGGAAATTAAAAGCAAAATACAAGTCACACCCAAAGTATCATGGAAAATAAGGAAAAGATCACCAGCCTACAACAATCATTCCAAAACCTTCAAACTTTACTTGGAAGAAAAATTAGCTATTATTACCTTCCCAGACCAAAATAAATTACTAAATAAACTATCTGAGCTCATCTCAAAATGCAGGCATGAAAACAAATTTCTACTACATTACTTAAAAATTGAAAACTGAAATGAATAAATAAAAATAAACAAAATAATATAAAAAGCAAGTAAAATAAACCCAAACAAATAATAAACAAATTAACAAACCACTCCTGTTAGAAGAGACAAAATAGAATAAATAAAAATAAATACATAAAAAACAAGTAAAAATAATCAACTCAAATAAATAAAGTAAATAAAAAAAAATTAACAAAACAATCCTGCCAAAATAACTGTTGAAATAAACTACAACAATCAATCCAAAAATTGGACAAAAAATAGGTATAACTGCTATATAATGATAAAAAAATTCACTACGTTACTGAAAAGTTGAAAACTGCATAGAGTAAATAAAAATATACAAAAATAAAAAAAAATAAATAAGAAAAAACAAGTAAAAATTAATCCAATAAATAAAAAAAAAATGCTCCCACTAAAATGACCATTAGAACTAATAAAAATAAACATAAATAAGCAAAAATAAGTAAAAATAATCAATCCAAATAAATAAAATAATAAACAAATTAAAAACTGTCCCCCTCTGCCAAAATAACAGAATAGACTACGGCAAGCAATCTAAACATTGGATAAATAAACAGCTTTCTCTTCCCAGACCGAAACAAACTATTAAATAAGCAACCTAAGCAAAAGCCACCCCCACCCAATTTAATATTAATAAAACATCAAAAACCAAAAATAAATAAATATATCAAATAAAAAACAAGAAAAATAAATTAACCCAAATAAATAAACAAGCCCTCCCTCCAGAATAACTGCCAGAACAGATTACCCACAATGCACCTCCGAACCATATATATAGTCAAGAAAAATCCAATACTCATGGCCTGACAATTGCATCTAGCATGAAACAGTCTGTCACCTGAGTATTGACTTCAACGTTCACTTTATATATATATATATATATATATATATATATATATGATTGTTGCTGCAACATTTTTGTTAAAATTGTTATATTCAAATATTTAACAAAATAGAGGAATTTCTATGCATATTTTATTGACATAGAACTTGCCATAAACTTATTCAAACATTAACTTAAGAATTAAGATTCATCAAAATTCAATTAGCAACACTTAAATTTTTGCAGGTCTTACTATTTTTTAGGTTTGTGCAAAAATAATAGTTTTCTCACATGTTTGAACGCCAAAAAACGATATTTTTGTACCAACCTAATAGTAATGTTTGAAGTGATAATATAAATATCCTCAAAGCATTAAACACTTCCCTACAATCTATGCTTTTTGCTGTGTAATGTGGATAATTTTAAGCATTTCCGTCCTATAGATGAGGTTCCCAACTTTTTTGGTGTCATTGACGACTTTCGCATAGAAAAATTTTTCCATCACACACCTGTATAGTTAATATTCAAAAGGATACCAAAATTGTTTGGTAAAAATTTGTTATTGGTTCATAAACTTTATGATGCAATGAAAATAGCAAAGGGAGTTAACAAATAATGTTGACTTATGCAGAAGCTGCTGCCCGTAATATCTTATTAAAAAATGGATGAAAGCAAACTTGACAACTATGTATAGTTTTATGGCAAGGTATATCTTTGCTGGTGTTGACAAAAACTTTTTAAAAATTGTTTAGAATTATAAAATTAAAAAGAATATACGCAACTAAAAAAAATTCAGTGAATATTTTTTTTTGTCTAATACTGAAGAATGATTTGAATGTTAATGACTTCTCAAAACTTTAGAAAATAGCCAAATATTCCTTGTTTACGGGGATATCTATACCTTATCAAGGAATGTGATCAATATCTCCGTTTAGCCGCTTGTTTTATTTTAAACAGGGTTTTTGCATATCCCCTTTGCCTTTTTTTTTCCATCTAGTATATGTTGAAATACTTTTTTAATACTCAAAATTTTATATTGCCCACCATTTTCTGTTCCATTGCTTATCACCCATTCGTGGGTGATATCATCCAGGTTGGGAAGCCATGCTATAAATCATAGCTTTTTGATCAAGTTAATCTTGCCTTCGTGTGTGTGTGCGTGTGAGAGAGAATTTTACTTTTTTTAAATTTAATGTTGATTTCTTGTGTATTTCTTCATTTAACTAAGGATGTACTTGATGACATCAATGAACACCAAAACTGATAAGTTGAACTCATGTCTTAGTTGATACCGTCAGGTTTCGGTTATCGTACCTTTTGGTCTTCTTCAGCTGTCTGTTGTAGGGAGTTTGAAACTCTGCTAATCCAGAATAGGGATTAGATTGTTTTTTCTTAATCTGTTCTCCACACCAAAGAATATCTCATATCAGATTAATTCTCTCAATCCATCTTTGCAATGGTCGCTTGTTTCTTTCACTGAAACAAAGTATATAATTTTCTCACTAACTCACTTAGGGATTGAACTCATGACTGCCAGCTTAATTGCTTAATGAATGTTTTTTTATGCCTTAACCTTTGGTAGATTATTTAAAACTGAATCACTTTTGGATTGTAAGAATAATTCACTTTTTTTGGTGGTGTAGTGAATATTGTATTAACAAGTCCTATTTAGCTCATAGCAGGCATGGGGGGGGTTGAGTTATACCATTCCCAAGGATGTTTGCACATAAGTGGATACAATGAACCCAACCAGAATTTGAACTCAGCCCTCCATTTTCTTATTCTAAGCTCTTATCTATTACATCACCCATACATTCATGATTACAGCAGTTGGTATTCCTAAGAGGGAAAGCCATCTAGGTACTGACCAGGGCTGATATTGCTTAACTTGGTTGATCAGATTGAGAATCGGTGTTCCAATGTGATATGGGTGTAATTCCTCAGAATGAGGCCCAGGGATTTCACAAACTATTCTATTGTTTCATGCCATAAAGAAGCACAGACAGACAGAGAGAGAGAGAGAGAAAAGAAAAATAATATTTCATATATGTTGTGCACCCTCCTGATAAAAAACAAAAAAAAACCTGCTATGTCCAATTTTTTGAAATTTCCCTAATTAGGGAATTATCCAATTTAAATGAAAATTTTACAAGTGATTCATTAAACTGTTAATGGAACTCTGCAAAAATCCTTTATCCTGCCCACAAGTTTCACAGCATGGAGAAATTTTGGAAACCGTGAACTAATTCAAGTGTTTCTAAGGATAACAATAAAAAAAAAAAAAAAAAAACAGGAGAAAAATTCCATTTTTTTATTGACACTGAAAGAGACAGTAAAATAGATACCTGTACAAGATAGAAATTGTCTGCATAAAACTAACAGGTCCCTCTCTCTTGTGGAGAGTTTGACATGAACCTTTATTTTCTTAAAGTCTTGAAAATGAAATGGGAAGAACATTGATTATGAGACCAGCAAACAAAATTCTCTAAGAGAAGCAATTGCTGATGGTAAAGATCTTTAACTGTCAATGGTCCTGGTTTTTTTCTTCAATTTAAGAATCTTAAAACATTTTGGACTTCTTTTTTCTGTGCATCTTGTCAATTGCCTGGCGCTTGTTATGCAAGGCTTTTGTCTGCAAAACAAAGAGGAGAGAGAAATTAGCAAAATGAAGAGAGAGAGAGATAAAGAAATAGGGGAGAACAAGAGTGTAGAGTAAGTGGTTAAATGTAAATAAATGGCAGAACTGCCCAAAAGATTTGATAAAGTTAACAATAAACAATTACAAGAAAAAAAAGCAGGACAAAAAACAATATATAAATTGGATAAAGCAAGCAAACAATATATGCAAGGCAAAGCAACAATAATATGTCAAAAAAGTTCACAAACTAAGAATTGACATTGATACACAAGAGCAAGTTTGGACAAGTGAATGTATTGTTCTGACTTCAAGGCAAGACAGACCAGGACTGAGCAATTAGAGGCCAAGAACTGGTTTACTTTATTAACTAGAAAAAAATTCCAGCATGCATTTGTGTGCTTATGCCTATAAAATGAGGAGGGAGAAGTGGTTTGCAGTCATTCCTATACCAGATTGGAACCAACAATAAAAAAAAAAGAAAAAAAAAAGAAGGAAAATTTGAAAGATCAAATGTAAAAGTAAAAAAAGGAAATAAAAATCAGCAACAAAGCAATTAGAAAAAATCCTTAGTGAGAGAGGAATTGTTGATTCTGTGTGACAGGTGGATGGACTGGTCTGTTTTTATGAAACCCTGGGGTCGGGATGCTGAAGGTAATATCAATCAGCTAAGTGACAAACTTTTACTTAGATTAATTCTATTTTATATATATATATATATATATATATATATATATATAATAATAATACTATATAATAATGATATATAAAAATAAAAGAAAAACTTCTCTTAGCTGATGTGTTTTATCCTGTAATGTACTTTATCAAGTCAAATATGAGGATTTTATTTTTCAACAAGTATATATTTATTATTTTAAATACAATAATTGCAGCACATGGCCATAAAAGTGGGAGTGGGTTGAGGCTGGACATGATTAACTATCTTATATCTAGCTAATTTGATTCGTGACCCATTCCTTTAATACAAAAAACACATACACCACAAGAAGACAACTTTTATTCCTAGTTATACTACAAAAGGAACCTAGAAAAAATATTCCAATGTAATTTCAATAAAAACAAAATGAATAGAATAACATATGTATTTTTTTTTCCTCAATAATTTTAAAATTTAATTTAAAATTTTTGAAATGGGTACTTTTTAATTTTAATTTCAAATTTTATCATACAATTTAATACTTATTAATTCGAATAAATTCTATTTTAGTATAACCCCAACTTTAAAAAATTTATTAGTTATTATAAATTGTCAAGTTTTTTGAATTCTCGTATACTTGTATTTTGACTGGTCATTTCAGCTCATGTGACAGCGTTTCCCCTTACGAGGGGTGCTTAATTAATTAGAACCTTTTAAAACCTTTATTCTACATTCAACACCATCATTTGATAAGACACCAGAGGTGTTGAAACAAAATTGCTATTTTTGTCGTGATTTTATAACATATTCATGTTACAATTTTTAAATAATTATATATATATATATATATATATATATATATATATGTATGTATGTGTGTGTGTGTGTGTGTGTAAAAATCTGAAGATGATATGAAATGGGGGTTGGGGTGGTGCTGAATCCCAATTACAAACAAAATATAACAAATGTTAGTAGGACCCGCCCACCCTCACAAAAATAAGAGTTGCTGCTGTATTCTGTCATCCGACAGAATCGAGAAGCTAACTCTCTAACGGAATGGGAAGGATAAAATAAATGTGGGCGTAGGGAAATCAAAGACTGAACCAGTTGAGATGAAAAGAGGGGGCCAAAAACAAACTGGGGAGGTTGAAAATCTCAACTTGGATTATAACCAAGAGAAGAAGCCAGGAATGACCCTTGATCACATTAAGTAGGTACACAAAAAAGAATCTAACTTAACGAGGGTGAGGGTTCCCAGGAAACCACTCTGTTGTGATGAAGAGGACTCATGGATAGCCCTTTTCACATGAACCAAGCTTGCTACTTTCATCCACCTTTTATTGAAGTCTGTCAACATCAAACGCTTTCTATCAGTTCTGATCGGACACCTTCAGCTGATGGTGGCCGTTCAGAGCCTGATGAGAATAGCGTTCGTTTTGCAAGATTCCCTTCTTTCGTGTCATCCAAATCACCATCCTTGCCATGGCTAGCAACAGGTAATTATAGTTTAGTTTATTTTGTTTTACTGCATATCAACACCTCAATGGGTTATTTAATGCCAACAAGATTTGTTAGGCTAGGTTCATATGAATAGAATATGTATTCATTGTAAGAAATCAGTTTGGAGATCAGGTTTACATATTTTAGTAAAGAGTTTGTTGAGAGTCAAATCTATTGCTAGTATTTTTACTATAAAAATCTATTTTTATACTTTCATAGTGTTTTGACTCCAGTTTGGGGAGTAACTATTTGCCCATAACTAGGACCCTAACAGGGGCTACAATACCAGGTCAGGGTAGACCGGGGGACAACCGCAATTAAAAGGTGATTCTACCTTACTCAAAACCTTTAGATCAGAGGCCTTGCTGCAAGATGTACTTTATCATCATACCCAGAATGACTAGTATTTATAAACAAAAGTAAAAATATTGGTTTGTCAAAATTTTTAAATTTAAGAGATGCTCATAAATATTCATCAGGTTGACTGAAGATTCTAGATAAAGTATGAAAGATGCTAAGTAACATAAATTAATATCTAATTATGGAAGATGCTAAGTGATGTAATATAATGTCCAATAAAAGAAAGCGAGTAAAAAAATTTTTTTCATTCTTATACAATTAATATTTAAATTAATTTATTGTGGGATAAATTTACGTATTATTTTTTTTCCTTAAATAACAGGAGGTTATAAATTTAAGCATTTCCTTTTACTTGTGGCATTTGCCTTGATAAAGTGGATCAGATGACAAATTGTGTTGGCTAAGTTATCCTTTTTGTCTTGAATCATATATTAGTTGATTGGTTTGGTTTATTTTGTGGTATATCAACCTCAATAGGTTATTTTTTAATGCCAACAAGATTTTTATTGCTGGTAATATTTTTTGCAAAAATTTATTGCTGGCAATACCCCCCCCCGATTCATTGCTGGTAATAAAACCTATTTTTACACCAGTTTGGGACTAGCTATTTGCCTATATATATATATATATATATATATAAGACAACTCCACTTGTTTGATGGGAGAAAAAAAATCAAAAAAAAAACTTAATAAAAACAAAAAAAAACAAAAAAAAAAAAACTTAATAAAAACAAAGTTTTATTGTCAAAATATTTGTTATTAAGAGGAAAGACCAAAGTATTTTTCTTTTTTTTATTTTAGTAAATTTTTTAATCCTTACTAGCGTGTTTGAAATTTTGGTTAAAAATCGTGTCTTTTTTTTTATGTCAGTGGCCAACAAAAATATTTATTTTAGTTTCTTTTTTTTTTTTTCAGGTGGAAAATGCATTAATTTGGAAATTCCCGCAAAGATCAAATAATTGTCAGGTTTTAATGAAACTTTCACGACTTATTCAGAAATGAAGGAAATTATTATTATAAATCCTGGTAAATATTTCAGATATGTCACCCCCCCCCCCACATCCCACACTTACTTAATTTCATGCAATCTCAAAATTTGTTTTATTAGTTAAAAGCAGGACCTCTTGGAGAATTTAAACATTTTTTTTTTCAAACAGATCTTCAGTTAATGAAAATCTGCACTGAATTGTCAAATAAAAGACGCAATAAAATTATGTCATTATTTAATTAGAAAAGCTTTTAATTGCTTTCATAAATCAGATTCATTAGGGACATTATTGTCTTGAGAAAAAAAAGTTTTTTGATGACTAATGAATTTTTAAAAGAATTGTTTTCATTTTATTTAAATGCTTATTATAATAATTTAAATTGTTTAAAAATTGGCATTACTTCAATCCAGTTACAAGTAAAAACTATATTAACGAATCAAAAATTGAAAAGCTTAATAAAAGTCATTTACCCCCCAATATTTTTAAAATACATTTTAAACTTTAGGTATGTAAAATTTAGTGGAGGTTCCTAATATATATTGAGATAGACAAAGAAATAAAAAGAAAGAAAAAAATTCTCTCTTGATGTATAAAAATTTTTTTTAATACAAACCTCTTGGGCAATTTTCTTCTTGCGAGTAACAATTTTATCATAGAGGCGACGTTTCTTCTTTGGAATCATCATTTCGGCTAATTTCAGTTCCTCACGCGCACGCTGCTGAATCTTGGCATTGATGTCCTCTGTCTCCATGGCACCAGGAATCACCAACATCTTTTTTGTGCTTGCCTTCTAAAAACGTAAAAGAAAAAAAAAAAAGTGTCATGGCTGAAGGAAAATACAAATATATATATATATATATATATATATATTTTTAAATTACCAAAATTCATGATTTCTATAAAGAAGGAAATTTGATTTAAAATTCCATCACCTGACATCTTTACTTTTATTTTTTTGAGTGCTACATTGTATCCCTGGATAGCATAGCTTGTGAAATGAACTATTCTTAGGTGCTTTAGAAAGTAATATTAGATCATGAGCTTGATTGTGACACCGTGGGGCCAAACAAAGTGAGGTAAAATTTCAAAAGGCTTTAAAAACATTAGATTCTCCTGTCAAATTTTGTAAAATCTCAAAGGGAGAAGGATGAAAAAAAAAAAAAAAAAAAAAAAAAAAAAAAATCAGAAATGAACAGTTACCCACCTTTGGCAAAACGTTGTTTCTGACATCTTGTTATTAATAATTTTTGAAACTTTAGGGCTTAGGGCTTTTTTTTTTTCTTAGACACTGTAAAAGAAATCAAGACCAGAAATCTTATTTGAAAGTAAATACTGTATATACTTTCGTATCATGACTTTTGAAGACCTAATTTTGAAGCTAATTTTAAGAGGGTCACATCATACATGAGATATAAAATTAGCATATGTACTGCTGACCCTGGCTATGCCATTGACCAAACTATATATCCATAAAGTCCAGCTGTATTTAAAATAAACATGATTTTGATAAAACTTACATTTTACTTAACTGTATCCAATAATAATGCATGTAATATTCACACATTAGTATCGTATTATAAAATATCTCGTGAATATGCATCTTTTCCATTACTTACGTTTATAAGATGTTTAGCCGTTTCTCATTTGGTTGTTTATGGCTGCATGCATTTATGCAATTAGTATAGTGTTACTAACAATACTTTTATCATTCTCTTTTACTTTTTTAACTTATTTAACTAGATGATGGGATAAAGAGATAGAAGAAAAGAGGTTAGTCTCTATTGTGATTTGGTCTCCCAAAAAAGGAACTTGTACAATACATGAGATACATAATATAATAATAAAATGACTGAAAATTTGGGGGTCACATGTTACACAAGTATCTAGAGTATAAAAAATTACTTGAGAAGGTCCATCGATATGCTGCTTCTTTTTTCTATAATTATTACAGACTGATTTATTTTTTATGGTTTATCAACCTTTCATGGTTTATTTAAAGGCAAAACATTATGGATTGTACAAATAATTTTTTAACACTTCCATCCCATTATTTTCAAGAATGATTTTTTTTCCAGCACAAGTTCTATTTAACCCATATTTTGGGGACAGAGAAGTATTCATACTTTTATCAAGGATAATTGCTCATAAGTGAATTTAACAAACCAGATTGGAATAATCCATGTTTGGTACTAGATGACCATTATATAGGAGTCAGTGTGCCATAAAATCACATTCAGAATGAGAACCTTGGAGATGGGATTAAAGACTATAAGAATCTACTTGAAAATTCTTGTTTGACACTACATGACTATTATATAGGAGTCAGTGTGCCATAAAACCACATTCAGAATCAGAACCTTGGAGATGCGATTAAAGACTATGAGAATCTACTTGAAAATCCTTGTTTGGCACTACATGACCATTATATAGGAGTCAATGTGCCATAAAAGCACATTCAGAATCAGAACCTTGGAGATGGGATTAAAGACTATGAGAATCTACTTGCAAATCCTTGTTTGGTACTAGATGACCATCATATAGGAGTCAATGTGCCAGATCAGGCAACAGATGTCTGCAGGGACCATTGTTCTAGGTTTATAGGTGCACAGATATAGCCATGGATATTTGTCTGGTGGGATGTAAATTGGGAGTCAAGGGAGTAACAGCTAGAAAATGTTTTGGGGAAACCTTGCTGTGAAGCTTTCAAAACGGAAAAAAGACTAGGTAAGTCATTTAAATTAGAAATCTTCAATGTTTGGCAAAAGAACAATATAACCATGTTCTACTTACGTTTTTTATCAGTCTCTCCATTTGCTTTGTTTTTAGATTTTGTCTTAACAGTTACAGCTTCTTTCAGCATTTCTTCAGCTACCGATTCCTCTTCCTCCTCCTCCTCCTCTTCTTCATCTTCCTCCTCCTCCTCTTCTTCTTCCTCCTCCTCCTCTTCTTCTTCAACTTCTTCCACATTTTCGTCTGGGTAGAAGAAAAAAAAAATAAAAAAAATAAAACCAAAATTTTAAAATAATCTCACCAGCATGGCTAGTGTTTGATCAATTCGTTTTTTTTTTTATGGTTTATCAACCCTTTGTGGGTTATTTAAAACTGAAACGTTGTTAAATATTTGAACTTAACTTGAGGCTTAATTTGACAAATAACAAATCAGAAATATGAATGCTGGTTGTTATTTTAAGAAGTAAGGGGGTACAAATGAAAAGATTCATAATTGACAGGATTTTCGATTTCACTGAAGCAGACACTAAACACATGAGAGTGTTATTTTCTGCTCTTTTCTTCCTTTTCAACACTGAAATCAAACAGTGTCTCTGGTATGTCTTTTCCATCTTTGCTAATGATCAAAATGGAATAGTCCATTATTTATGAGGTAGAGACAGGGTGTAATGTATGTGCTAATTAATTAAGCAATGGAAGAACAAGCAGAAGTAAGATATAATAATAATGTAATCATCCTAATAATATATAACAATAATAAAATCTATAATAATAACAATAAAACTATAATAATAAATGCAATACAAATATAATAATAAAAATTAGTTTTGACCCATGAAAATTTCAGTTTTCCTATTTGATTGTTCTTCAGTTAATGATTGAATAAGCTCATGGAAGTTCTATGACAATAAAATATCTGTAGAAATTCTCCTATTGCATTGTTAAATATTTGAGCTTAATAACTTTAACAAAATATTGCAATAACAATCATAGATATGAACGCAGGGTGTTGTTTTAAGAAGTAAGGGGGTACAAATGAAAAGATTTGAAATTGACAACTTTTCCATTTTACTGAAACATTAAACACTTCTATCTTCCCATCTTTCATTTCCTTACTGAAACCAAGTAGCATTTTCGACATGTCTTTTGTCTTATGAGGTATTGGCAGAACATAATGTTTATCTCTCAGTAATATTTTTCAGTTGTGCTCTGTCTTCAAACAGAAAGATTACTGAGTTGTCCACAGAAAAAGACAAAATTGAGAGACGAAATGTAACAACCGGTTTCAGATAGATAAACTACACTTTGATCTCAGCCAAAACACTGAGAATTAATGGCAACCGTGATAAAAGTGCCATTTTTCAAATGAACCGCATATAGAACAACCGAAACTGAGTAAAGTAATCACCAAAAATTCAATTACCATAAATAAAATAACATAGTCTGCTGAATTATTTTTAAATTATTAAGAGAAATGTTTATAAGATGGGGATAATCATATTATTATTATTATTATTATCATAAAAATAATAAATGAAAAGAAAATCTCCCAAGCATGGGGTAAAAAAAAATAAAAAAAAAAAAAATAAAAATAAAAGCCTGGGAGTTAAAAAAAAAAAACAGCTTGGGCACTATCTTTTACAGTTGAGAGGAAATTTAGGTTTTTATAAGCAGTCAATGCTTAGTTGTTAAGGAATCATCAGATTTTAAAATAAGTGCAAAGTATCACTTTATATATATATATATATATATATATATATATATGTATATATATAAGTAAATTTGAATGCTTTATAAAATTCTTAGCTTGGCATATTTCTCAAAATCTGATATGATCAGATTTTTGTTTTATATACTTCAGCACTATGTTGCATATTGAAAATCAGAAAGAAAGGGATTATCAGTGGTCAGGAAGGAAACATCACTACTACAATAGGGCAATTAAATGAACTATGTAAATAGATTGTCAATGGCTTTAAAAATACACTGAAAATCAGAAAGGGATTGTCAGTGGTCAGGAAGGAAACATCACTGGTACAATTAAATGAACTATGTAAATCAGTCATGGGCCATATGCGGCCTGTTTGGCTTTCTGAATGGAACACCTAATATTGACGGTAAGGTTCTCAGCATTTTAAACCATTGGCGATTTTCATTAAGGAAGATCATACATGTAAAAATAGTTTGCTTTAGAAATGAGAAATTTTCATATTACGTTTTTTCTCTGGAGAAAAAAATTTTTTTTTGATTTTCAAATGAATAAATTAGAAACAAATCATACTCATCAGCATTAGTTAATCACCGTTGTCATCAGTGATGATGATGATGATAATAATAATAATAATAATATACAATATCTTCAATTTTTAAACTGTAGAAAAAAAAAACCCCTCCAAATGAAAAATAATCTTTTCCTTATTTCTAAGGCTTATGCCTACAATATTCTGTTTTTAAAATATAACTTTACTTTAAAACAATCTTTCCTAAGAGTTACATCATTGAAAGTCAATTTTAAGATTTAAAAATATTACTAATTATTCTGATTGAAATTAAAAAAAAAACAAAAAAAAAACCTGTCTGGGAAAAATTCATTTTACATTGAAAAAAAAATTTCTATACTTAAGACAATATAGTCTTTAATATATATTATTCATAAAAACAATTATAACCTTCTCTAATTAAATAATGTCTTAGTTTTGTTGTTTTATACTTTTCAACACAGAGCAGATTTCCAGTAAAAAAAAAAAAAAAAAAAAAAAAAATCTGATTTTATTTCTACGAAGAAATCTGCTTTTAAAAATTATCATATTGAATTTTTCTAGTTTTTAGAAAGTAAAGGGAGTGAAATACATGTATATAAAAAAAAAAAATTTTTTTTTACCAAGATTTTCTAATAAAAAACATTTCAACAATAATTTAATTCATTTGTGAATAAGTCCTGAAAATTTAATTAAAATCTGACAATTATTTGATTTTTGCAAGAACTTCCAAATTAATCTGTCACTATCAAAAAGATGCAAAAATTTGTCTATATCTCTGAGATGAGGTATTATGATTATTTACATTATTTGGGCGGTTATCCTCATCTTCATTGCCATATTCACAACATTTCAGCCATTGTACACTCCGGCCTTCTTCTGGTGATTGGAATTTTGAACTGGTGGACGAAATAAAGGGTTCAGTTCGAAATTCCAATCACCTGAAGAAAGCCAGAGTGTACAACAGCCGAAACGTTGTGAATATAGCAATGAAGATGAGGATAACAGTCTGAATAATGTAAATACGCTAAAATTTGCTGTGCTAATTTATAGTACATCCACTGTTGCAAGAAAAACAAGATTTTTAATCAAAATTTCAAATATTTTAAAATGGAGTAAAAAATCTAATTAATTATTCAAAATATACTTTGATCTTTCTTCTTAATAATAACAAAGATTTTGACAATAAAACTGTTTTCATCTTGTTTAGGGCATTTTTTCATCATGGTATGGTGATTTTTTAGTGATTTCATAGAGGTAGCAAAATAAGACTATAACGAGCATAATATTTCAGTCACTTATGTGCCATGAATGATACACGTTTAGGCAATCATGTACCTTTCAATACATGACTGACAAGGCAGATTTTTTTCTTCTGCAGTAGGTTGCCATTTCTTTCTGTGGTAGACCGGATGCCATCCAAGAACCGGGTCTGTCCTACTATTTACCCATAGCTGGGGGGAGAAGAATAGGATTCATACCTTTCCCAAGGATATTAGTACTTAAGTGAATGTAATGGATTTGACTGGAATTTGAACTCGGCTCTCCGATTCCTCAATCCGAACTGCTATCCATTACTCCACTGTGCATAATATAAAGGCTTTGCTAATGACTTAAAATAGGAAAGCATTGAAACTCAGTGAGAGATTGCCAATTGTCTGGAATTAATGCAAGCATTATTGAGAGAAGAGCTATTATATGCATCATGCAAAGACAATAATATTCATTTAACACTAAAAAAAATATTTTTTTATTTTTAAAGCAGTAATTTTTCTGTACTTCATGACATCTGACTGACACTGCACCTTAAGTATTGATGAAAAGTAGAGACGACAAGAGTTTTTGAAAAAAAAAAAAAAAAAAAAATTGCCAAAAACATACCTCCCTCTTCATACAGGCGGCTTAACTTCTCAGGGGGAATGTATTCTCCATCTTCTTCAGTCACAAATGGCGACAAATGAGGTGGGAGCAACACTCCCGGGAAATAGTCTTCAACTGGAAGTAGCTTACAGCAGTTAACACTGTCAAAAATCCACTGCGGTTGCACATAATACCTGGTAAGAGAAAATTCTCAAGTAAAAAGCGGTTATCCATTTGAGAATATGGGGGTTGGAAAGAAAAAATTAATGCCAGGTCTGTCTATATTTCCGAGATGAGGCATTAAATTTTCATTATTTACATTATTCAGACTATCGTCCTCAACTTTGTTGCCATATTTATCACAACGTTTGTTTTTCAGTATCTGTCTATATTTCTGAGATGAGGTATTATGTACACTATTTACATTATTCAGACTATCGTCCTCATCTTTGTTATTTCATTTATTAAAAACGTTTATATTTCTTCAGTATCTGTCTATATTTCTGAGATGAGGTATTATGTGCACTATTTACACTATTCGGACTATTGTCCTCATCTTTGCCGCCATATTTATCACAACGTTTCAGCCCTTCAGTATCTGTCTATATTTATGAGATGTGGTATTATGTACATTATTCAGACTATTGTCCTCATCTTTATCACCATATTTATTACAATGTTTCGGCTGTTGTATGCTCCGGCCTTCTTCAGGTGGTTGAAATGTCGAACTGAACCCTTTATTTCCCTCACTGGGGTAGACTTTTCTAGTTCCATGTGCCATGTTTAATGGATGTCAGTTATCAATTATCTCCTGTTAATTCCCCTTTCCAAGTTCTCCACTGTCTTAACCGGATATTGAACTCACACTCTTTAGGTCCTGTCAATGGATGTAACTAATGCCTTTATCCATTGTGCCATGTGTCCTTGAGGACAACCACTTGAAGGCCAGAGTGTACAACGGCCGAAACATTGTAATAAATATGGTGACAAAGATGAGGACAATAGTCCGAATAATGTAATGCCAGGCCTCTTTCAGAATAAGTGACCATTGATCTACAGAAGGTTTTTTTTTTTTTTTTTAATATGATGTCCATTTATGAGATGGGCAATGACTCTCCAAAGATTCCTTTTTATTATTACAAAGGAACCTCGGTCCACGAACTTAATTCATTCCTAAAGCTCGTTTGTAAACCAAAACTATTTTTCCGTAGGAATCAATGCAAAATGTATTAATCCGTTCCTGGATTAGATGATTGCTTATTTAAACTTTAACAATAGTCCTTTTGTGCACAAGTTTATGTACAAAACTAATGAAAATCATTAAATCTAAGAAAAAATAAATAAACCCAATACTAAACAGATAAAATATAGACAAACGCTTCAATTTTATCGTACTTGTAAGTAGGAGAGTTGATGGCATAAGTGGAAAGGGAAGGAAAGAGATGCTATTGTTTGGAAAAAGGTAAGGAAAGACATGATCATCTCTTTATCACTGCTAGCTTTCTTTGGAGTCATGTCTGAGGACTAATGAAGAGAAAAAAAAAAAAAAAAAAAAGGCACAGTACAATAAAATTGGAAAAGAACAAGCACAACACACAAATGTATACAACATGGTGGTCGACTCAGAAATGATTGCATTCAGGTTAACTTGGTTTGGCAATGTTGTTCAACAACCAAAATCTTGTTTGATAACCAAGGCATTTTTATCTTGAATACTCTGTTTGAAAACCAATTTGTTTGACATGTGATACGTTTGAGAACCAAGGTTGCTCTGTATCATCATCATAATTATCAGTGAACTAATTGTAATGGATTCTTGGGAAAGGTAATGGTTTAACATTGCCTACTCCATGGAATGAAATTCAATTTTCCTTCTCTTCGACTGATGTCATTTACATTTATAAATTGTGTTTACCATCTTGGTTTTAGTCCATTTGGAAATAGCACTGCAACCTATGGTGATGCCAAAGTGAATGGACATAAAACAAATTGGAGACAAGTGATCTGAACATGCTAGTACCAAAAACACACACCAAACACAATTATGCATGAATTTGGCATGTTTTAAGACTGGGAAATGGTGAAAAGAAATCTTTAGTGATAGAACCTCAGACACTAAATTTAATAATTCCAACAAATATATGATAAATCTGACATAAAAAACCCAAACCCAAATGTAATTTTCAAAACAGCGAACATAGCATCTATCATTCAGGATGGAACTCCAAATAAGCCAACTTTCACGAAAGATTCAATACATGCAGTAAGAAATTACTGATATCTATTATTATTACTATTACTACTTCTTAGTCAGGTACTTTATGGAGCATTACTAGGATTTGCCCATTTACTCAGCAATTTGAGCGATGGCTTTAATATACAAGTCCCACTTGAGGTGTGGAGTAAGCTTGAGTCCTAATAGACTCACCAAGCAAAGAATCTCATTGAGAATACAACCGCTCGTTCTAAGTTCAAGGCGTGCTCAGTGATAATGAACAGTTACTAAGTTGGTTCTGGAGGTATTGAATGCTACCAGTCAGTTTTTAACCCATTGAGCTGTCAGAGCTGGAACAGAGTAGCGATCAGTTGCCAGATTCTAATTATCTAAATCAGTGATATTCCAAATATAGATAATGATAATCCAAGAAATTCAAACCAAAATTAAAATTTTTGAAGACCTTTCTATTAAACCAGTGGTTTCCAAACTTATTTTAGATTGCTGCCCTCTTGTGTATCAAAGCATGTCCTTAACACCCTCCTCCTCCAAATGTATACATCAACACGTGATTGGATTTTCTTGATGCTATTATTGTATGTCAAATGAGTCTCTTAGGATTTCCCATAATAATTGTTATATAAATGGGATAAACTGTAAAGTGAAAGCAAAATACACTTTGGATACAATCTGTGTGTTGTGTATGTTATGGTTCAGATATGCCACTGCCACCCTGTGGCTACCAACCCCTTTTTTTTCCCTCACTGCCTCCATTGATATTTCCACCAAATTACTGTATTAAAATGATAATATAGCAACAGCAACTATCTTTGAAAATGGGTAGTGATGTTAGCTGAAAGTACTCGGATATGGAAAATTTTATATTCCAATAGCAACCAGAAATCAGAACAAAGGATCAATAAAAAAACCTGGAACTTTCACTGGTTTTTAATGTAGCTTATATATATATATATAGTTTGCAAAGTCCAAATTACTGTTTAAAAAACAAACATCTTCAATGATATTTCTTGATTGAATATTTCTGCTCACAAAAATATCATAACGTAAATTTTCTGTTTATACGTTATTTTTATAGGTATAATTTATGGAAGTAAATTTCTTGACCATTCAGGATGGTAAATGTAATTAATACTGTTTAATTAAAAAAGTAGAGCATTTACTTACATAAATTATATCTATAAAAATAACATATAAACAGAATAGAAACTCTGACACCAAATCGGTTGCGTTTTAATACTAGCTTGAGGCATTCGGGTGTCTAGTCTCACTGAGCCACCTGCACTAATGCAAAGCTCTTCAGTAAAATGAATAGAGCTGTATGGCTGATTAGCATTTGCAAAAACAATGCGCTAAATTTAGCTGTTCATTCTGTTGAGCTCAGTGGTAGAAACTCTGACTGACACCAAATTGGTTGGGTTTCAATCCTGGCTTGAGGCATTTGGATGTCTAGTTGCACTGAGGAGCTGTGATACAGCGAAACAGTACTGACTGTCAATGACATTTTATATATACATACATATATATATATATATATTATAAATAAATTAGTACAAATATAAAATTTCCCATTTATCTGATTGGTGTCAACTTTAGATTTTCGTAGATGGACTCTCCAGTAATCATTCCATCCACTCAGCAAGGTGCGCACGCGTGCGTGTGTTTTTTATGGTGGAGATGTGCCACCCTCGAGTTGCCAAATTTTTTCCTCACTTGCATAGATATCCTCTCTTGGGAAGAGCAGTACCACTCACTTTGAGAATCACTGATCCAAACCAATTAATTGCCCCAGCATCACATATTCTGTTTTTTCAACAATCCAGTCAGGACTTCTGTGATTCAAAAAAAAAAAAAAAACCCAAAAATCTTTTAAGGGCTCAAAGAGTGAAATTATTGTTTGTTTTCTTCTTTCTTTCTTGTTACTTACCTAGATAAATACTTTTTGTTTTGATTAGGTCGATCAACAATCTGATGTGTGATTGTCTGATCATCTTCTTGATAACTGTAGCCGATGGTGCCAGTTCGATCCCAGGATACTGTTCCACCAAAAGACCTTAAAGAAAGAAAACTTCATTTATTCAAAAATCCTTACAATGCCACCAAAACTGAAATAAGACATTTTGTTCACAATCTTTTGCTATTGCTCCAGATTTTATTTCATGCATATATCTAAAGATTTTTTACGACACTATAGTTTTTTTTTGGTAGCAATTCCTCTTTTATACATGTTTTGCTAAAAACGACTGACAAGGTACTGTGATTAAGCTTCTTATTAATTTTTCATGTGTCTGTATAAGTGTTTTCTTTTTTGGACACAAAGTGGGGAAAGACTGCTCAAAAATTCTGCATATCCAAGCATTTTTTATGTTTAACTGAATGTGTGTTTTTTTTTTTTATGTATGTTACTGAAGTTATAAAAATGTTTTGTTTTTCAAACAGAATCTGGACATTGACTGATTATTTTTTTTTCTATTTTTAACAGAATGTCCGAGTTTTTCATATATGTGCCTGAAGTTATAGGAATACAATAATCTCAATCAAAAAAAAAAAAAAATCACCCTATATTTTATAGGGTCATTTTTATTTTTTATTTTTAACAGAAATTTTCAGTTTTTTATGTGTCTGAAGTTATAGGAATATAATAAAAATAATATCAGTAATAATTATTGATAAATCTCTTGTTGCTCCAGGGATTCAAAGTATTTTACAAGCATCATAGATTGCTCAGGCCCAATTTAGAACTGCTATGCGGTTTCCTAACAAGGCAACCATAAGTTTCAACATTCAGATTCCAACAAAATTGAAATTTGAATATAAAATGTAAAAGTATCTTGGTTATTACAACCAAATGAATTGTTGAATTCAACCAGATTTCCCAGAATGATGCTCTGAATCCTATTTTCAGCAACAATTTCAAGCCAATAATGAACCAACCTGATAATAAACACCATATATTCACGTGGAATTTCTCTGTTAAGGTAAAATTTCAGCCCCTGAAATATCTTCTGAGAGTCCGCTCGCTTCTTCATTTCCATCTTGGCTTTTTCCATTTCATCTGGGTCTTCAGACTACAAAGAAAATGACACAAGAAATATTTTCAGCCTCATAGCATTATGATTTTTAAAACAAATTTAATCTGATTCTATACTGAAATGACCAGATTCCTGTTCGTGCAACAAAGCACAAATGGCACACTGTATTAATAAAATTGTTTCTATTTAGCGAATAACACATCTAAAATTAGATATTAAAAAAATAAAGTAAGTTATAATCTCAGTTTGAAAATGTGTATATTTTCAAAACTGCAAGTCATTTTTTTAAATCCCAAAGTAAAACTAAATTATTCTTTCTTAGCTACTAGTCAGTAGTTTTAATAAGTTCTTCTACCACACATTTATTACTATCAGTTGCTTTTTTCTTTTTTGCTTACTTTATAATTTTTGAAGGGATTCGCTTCCACGGATCAGAGAAGAAATGAACATCATCTTGGTTGTAGTTTAAGGTGCCTTCTGAGTGTACAATTTCAAGAATATTGAGAAAAATGGTCACTTTGATTTAGCAAAAAAAAAAAGTAACATGTAAAATTTAGTCTAGGAAAAAAAAAAAAAAAAAAAAAAAAAAATACCATTTTCTGTAAAATAATTGAATATTTTTAAGATTGGATCAGAAATACACAAGAAATTGTGAGTTGAACGGACTAGGTTTCAAATTTATCAATGAAATCAGATATCAACTGGAAATGCTGTCATTACACAAGAAAATGAATGGCTTCCTTAGAAAGCAAAAATACTAAACCATGGCATCAAGAAAGAAAAAAACAAAAACTGAAACAAATTGCCAAACCGACCAACTTGACTTCAGGGTGCATTTATAGCATAACTAAAACTCTGAGGTTCACTTTAAATTTTAATAAGGAAGAATTAACCAGGAAATTTGAAAATAGGACATAGTTGAATGTCTTAATAAAGAAAATGTGCTTTCTGGCAGGTTTTGAAACTGCATTTCTCTTGTGTGGGGAAACTACTGTATATCTTGATGTGCTTTTACAACACTCAGCCATGCAAAACTTTTACATTCAAAGTTCAAATAAAGGGAAGTAATTCCTGATATTTCTTAATCCTTCTAAGTGCCATCATAATGTTGCATCTGAAATAAACAATTACAGGTATACCACACCTGATGACGTTAATTTGTTTCAGAGGCCATGACTTAGGCCGAAAAATTACAAGTCAAAATAACTATATTATAAACTGCAAATAATCACTCCCCATTGTCTATTACACTATGATATGCATGTACAGTATTCTGAATAAAATAATTAATTTCCACCTTATCTTCCTTACACATTAGGGACCTTTCTCAGAAGGTATGGGTAAAAATCTATTCCAAATCACAATTGAAGTGTAATTGAAAGATCATCAACAGCAGAGCACTGATGTAAACAAGTCTGATTTCAAAGCATGAGTGTTGCCTATCAGCAGGAATTTGAAATACAAAATTCAGCTGAATATATTTTATACTATTTTTTTATGATATATAAATTTAAAATTTATTTAAATTTTATACGTGTTTATTGTTATCTTGGTATTTTGACGTTTCTAATATTTTTAACAGCTGACGTAAACTACAATAGAATGACCTAAGGTGAGTTTTATTTTTCCATATAATATTTAAGAAAAACCGACCTATCTTTGAAAATGACTTAACTTGAAACAACTTAAGCTAAGGTATCAATGTTTCATAATGTTTCAACGATTTTAATTATGACAATGTTGCTAAGACAATTGTATGGCAAACACGAATCGCTTATAGAAATGATGACTAATGACTATATGGTAAAGTAGAGAAAAGAAAAACTAGATCCCTAGATATATGAGAAAAAGGGAAAGAAAAGAGGGGAATGGAAAGGGGGGGGAAGGGGACCAATAATATTGCTGATTCTTCTTTGGATTTTATCAAGGAGCTCAAGGTAAATAGCAGGGGCACCAGACCATATGTGACAGCAATATTCTAAGCATGGATGTATGGTGGACTTATAGATATGTAAGATAGATTCTGAAGAGGAAAATTGTCTTGCATGACACAGGTAACCAGTGTTCAGCAGCTTGTGTTATGCTTTGTATTTTGTATCGTTTCAGTTAATAAAAATGGTAAATGTTCTTTGCCCCCCCCTTTAATTTCCTTTAATACTTTATATCCAGTGATGGCATCCTATGAGTTTGCACAAACTGATTCTTATATATTAATAACCAATGTATAACAGCTGAAAGTATTATTAAATACCATTGCCGTAAGTTCTGTGGAAACTGAAAGAGGGTTTTCTATGATGAACATAATTTATTTCTGACAAAAGAAATTGTCTTAAAGTTAAAAAATCTGTCAAAATCTTCTAGGCCTAAATTTGATAGGTTTGCTATTGGATCTTTGGGACTCTGCAAAAATTCAGTTCGAATGTGGTTAAGAAACCATGAGACAGCTGATGACACTAGAATAAAAAAAGCATCAGACTTCTGAACAGAAATACAATGAGAACAGAATTTCAATCTAGAAATATCTTAATAAATAAATGTTTTCTATTAAATTATCAAAATAGTTTAATTCTTTTCAATACTATAAAGAGATTTGTTTCCATTTGCAGATTGAAAAGAAAATAAGCAGAATAGGTTCCTAAAAACTACCTGCCTTTATAGAACTGATTCCTGGAAATTTGGGGTGCCATTATATGCCTGTATCTGTATGGTAGGGAGCTGTTATAAAGTAACAATCCAATTAATATATTCTAAGAATTAATTTTGCTTTCATAAACAAAGCCAGAATATGATTTTTATCAGTACAACTTGTACTTATAATTACTCAGAATGTAGTAGACATAGAAAAACATGATTGTAAGTAAGTAAAAAAAAATTTTTTTTTATAAAAATATGATAAAAAAAAATAAATAAAAAGGTAACAGGTTCCTTTGAGAAATTTAAAGAATTTTACTAAATAGTATACTACTTCAACATCTTGCATTATTTACATTAATCAGACTGTTATCCTCATCTTCATTGCCATATTCATATTTCGGTTGTTGTATGCTCTGGCCTTCTTCAGGTGAAGTGGAATTTCAAACCGAACCCTTTATTTTATCCATCAGTTCATTGGATCTAATCAACGTCTTTATCCACTGGGCCATGGGTCCTCAAGTAGTGGTGAACCAAAACTTGGAAAGTTGAGTTAAAGAGAAATAACCGAGAGATCCAGAAGAGGCATGGTACGGGGAACTAGAACAGTCCACCCCGGTGGATAAAATAAAGGGTTCAGTTTGATATTCCAATCACCTGAAAAAGGTCAGAGCATACAACAGCTGAAACGTTGTGAACATGGCAATGAAGATGAGGATAACTGTCCGAATAATGTAAATAATGCAAGTAATCATCATACCTCATCTCCGAGATATAGACAGATACTTCAACATTGGTCTATATTTCTGAAATGAGGAATTGTAATGATTTATACTACCTAAATAAAGGGTTTGGTTTGAAATTTCAACAAATATCACCTGAAGAAGGCTGGAGTGTACAATGGTCAAAACATTGTGAATGTGACAGTAAAGATGAGAACAACAGTCTGGACAATGTAAGTAATGTAAAAATATATTACTTATCGAATATATCGGCCAGCAAAATCATTAGAAAGATATAAACAAAACTCACATCTGTAATAGGAAAATAATCAATCTCGGCTTCGTCGTTTGTGACATCACCATGTCTTTTCAATTCCTGAGTCAAAGCTCCAAGTTGCTAAAAAGAAGAAAAAGAAAAGTTACCAGACAACTGGGTGGATTGGTTATCACATCCAGAACAATAGCAAGAGAGCTTACAAAACTTGAGTTGATAAATAGTTATCAGGCCCATTTAAGAAAAAGCAACGTTGATTTTGTAGTGACATTAAGAGCAGACACAGGAAGTTACTGCTTTCATAGCTTAAAACAGGACATATTTTGGGATTTGCGCAATAGGCTCCATGCATAACTTCCAGTTGAAGTTGATTAAATGCAATCATTAAATAAATATATGTTGACCAATGAGAAATGAGTGCACCTGAAATAATAACTTAATCGGAGCCTTTCAACTTTGCTAACAATATAAATAGACCTCTGTCTAAAAGAGAAGAGATTCCAAAAGGAGACACACAGAGAAGACAGAGAGAGTCAAACACAACTGTGAATGGATACATCAAAGACATATATAAAAAAAAAAGCGAGGTTTCATAAGTAACATATTTAAATAGAATCGTTTATAACCTCACTTATTCGCATCGAAACAAAAATGCATCTTTGTTGTGAGTACTTGTTTGTCCAGATGTAACATCTTTATTATATTAAACTTATGTGTGTGTGTTTATATATATATATATATATATATATATATATATATATATATATATATATACATATACATACACACTGTTCAAAAGTTTAAGGCCACCTCTGGTAATTTTTTAAATTGGCCTCAAAAGTATTTGTTTTGTACTTTAAATAAGAGAAAAATATTATACATGGTTAAACAAAAAGTGAGACATGAATTTTTTTTTTAATATCTTATTATGAAAAAAAAAAAAGGAAAAAGCATTTTATGATTAAATTTTGCTCTCGTCAAAATATCCACCTTTACTTTGATTACTGCAGTACAAATTTTTGGCATTCATTGCACAAGTTTCTCAAAGTGTAAGTTTGATAATTGCTTCCATTCTTTTTCCAATGACTCTAAGAGCTATTTTTTTGTTTTTTCACTCTTCTGTCAAGTTCATCCCATGCTAATTCTGGGGATGGCCTCAAACTTTTGAACTGTACTATATATATATATATATATATATATATATATATATATATATATATATATGTGTGTGTGTGTGTGTGTTGTTAATTTCACAAAAACTTGTTTTCTGTTGCCATAGCAGGATATGACAACACAACTATGAAATTTAAACATACTATTGTTCAGGGATCAGTGTCACCTTCAGTGGCAGGATAAACTTTTTGTACAGCAAATGAAGTCACATACAGAGTGATAAATGATTAACAGGATTTATTCCTTGTTTTCTGTTCAGGATTAGACTTCCAGTTCCTTCTAAAGTCTATTTCAACTACTGTCTTCACTCAAACTTTTACTTACTATTTATTGACATTTATTTTTCAAATTATTAACCTTTAGCAATTCTTAATATTTCTTCCCTTTCCACTGGATTCTTTTTCAAGGCCTTTCAATTGCAGTAGCCTTATTGTTAATTTAGCTTAAAGTTGTTTTTTGTTGCCATAACAGGATATGACAACACAATCATGAATTTCAAACACAGGAATCAGAGTCACCTTCAATGTCAGGATAAATGAAGTCATATACAGAGTGATAATGGTTAAATAACCTACAAAGGATTCGTAAGCAGTAAAGAAACCCAAATCAATAATTGAAGAAAAAAAAAAAAAATTTGTTCTCTAATTTTTGTAAAGACCCCCCCCCCTCCCTGCAAATCCCTAAAGGTATTTTCTTGAGGGCCCTCAGGTTTCAAGGCCTGGCACATTTGTGCTACCTGCCCTGCCCTCTCACTGCTACTGATTGATCATAAAATTCAGCCAATTTAGTTTCAAATGAAATTTCATGTTTGAAAATTTATTTAAATGGGGTAATCAGTTAAATATCATAATTTCTTGTGTGTAATACAATCTCATGTTTCTGAAGTTAAAAACGGAATAAATTACATCCTTGATTATAATAAGACTCCAGAATACATCCATCCCTAAGTAACTTTTCTTTTAAAAAGTTGTACCATATTATTTATTGAAATATTCCACTAAAATATTTAATTTTTCATGATATTAAAGAATAGAAATGAACTGGATATTTAGCCATTATGTGTTTTTTCTCCTAATTTTTCAGTTCAAAATTTATTTGCAAATATTCAGGGAAAGGTGCTAACTAGACAAACCTGATAATACATATTAAGGTATTAATCTATCATACTTTTCCATTTTATATATATTAATAAACAATGAAAATAAAAAAAAAATATTGTCTTTCATTAATAAATAAATATGGCTGACATAAATACATTTTGTAAACAATTTTACACTTTTTTTTTTTCAACACTTGCCTACTTTGTGTTTTATTATTAACTGAGCATATTTGCAATTTTACTGTTTGAAATAAGGGGTTTTTAAGCTGAGTAAGAATTTCTGAAAATGCGTAGCTGTGTATAATACGACCTTAGTCCCTTATCTTTAATTTTTGTTAAGAATTTCTTGTATTCTGCCCAAGAAAATATGGTAATATTGAATATGGGGGTGGGGTATGCAGAAAAGTACTCTGCCAATTTACTTCCCCCAGATCTGACCCAATATCTGACTGATTGCTTCTAGGTTAGGTCCTGTATAATAGGGATAAACAAAAAAAAAAAAAAAAAAAAAAAAAACTCTACCTCTTCATAAAAATCTTCCTTGGAACATTTGTCATCATCTTCTGAAGTTTTTGCGCGTCTGATGGCCAGCTAGATTAAAATAAAATGAGAAAAAAAAAAGAAAAAAGAAATATAAAAAAAAATTTATGTTGTATCCTTTTCTTCTGATTCTGTTGAGAATCTAGAGATATACAGGGTGGGGGTCAAAAGTAGGCTTACAGCTTTTTCATATTTTAGATCTAAATCATAATTAACTTCACCAGACTTATGCTTTGGCAGTAAAGGACTACCATAACCAAATCTTTCCACAGCGTTGGTGTTCAGAAGAAGGAGGAACTATCAAATGCCCCCCCACCGTTCACCTGACCAAACACCAACAGATTTCCTTTTTTGGGGCGTAGTAAAGAATAAGGTTTATGAGAGAAATTCCCCAAAAATGGACAAATTAAAAGAGTACATCTCAGCACTATTTATTGAAATAATTGATGCAGATTAGAATTTGTGTCGAGCTGTTTGTCATAATGTTCTTGCAATGTTGAAAGAAGGCATTTTGAGCACTTAAGACATTAAACTGCGCTAAAGATATTTCAGCAAATAGCTGACCAAATGTACATAAACAATTTTGAAAAAATATGATTGGAACAAATATAAATGTAATAAAAATGTTTTCATAAAATGTAAACTGCATACCTACTAAATTTAAGCCTACATTTGGTCAACCCTGTATACATATGATAAAGATAAAATGAGAGCCCAAATGTATGTAGTCTTTTCCTAGACCATACCCTGCACATATACAAGTACAGATGTAAAGAGATGGGCACAGATCATTCTACCACATCTCAGACCAATATAAATATTTGGTACCTTCTTTTCTGGTATAGACATCATATAACACACATGACATCACTCTGGATTAATTTGAATTCCAGCATTCAAAAGACTTGTATTATCATCATCATTATAGGAGTGGTTATTGGAAACATATGTCCTGTAGACCAGACAGAGTGGGAACTATCTTTATAAGGCATGGCCTGACTACTTACCTTTGGTGGGTAATACAGATTGATAGAATTGTACAGTCGATAATTAACAAATCCAAGCAGGGTGGTGTAGAATTCAACAAAGATCTGCATGATTTTGTAGTCAACACCAACAGAATACTGAAAAAACAAAAGAAAAGTCAAATATAGGATACCTTACTGTATTTGGAGGCTAATTACTGTCTATCTGTCTATATTTCTGAGATGAGGTATTATCTACACTATTTACATTATTCAGACTATTGTCCTCATCTTTGTTGCCATATTTATCACATCGTTTCAGCCATTGTATGCTCCAGCCTTCTTCAGGTGGTTGGAATGTCAAATTGAACCCTTTATTTCAGTCAATGGAGTAGACTGTTCTAGTTCCACATGCCATGTTTTAATGGATGTCAGTTATTAGTTATCTGATGTTAATTTTCTCTCTGAAAGTTCTCCACCGCCTTAACCAGGTATTGAACTCACACTCTTTGGGTCCTGTCACTGAATCTAACTAACACCTTTATCCATTGTTCCATGTGTCCTTAATGCCTTTATCCACTGTGCCATGTGTCCTTGAGGAAAATACAAAAAAAAAAAAAAAAAAATTTTTCGTATTTTGCTTTGATAAAGTCCACAATGGACGAAACACGTCAGCAATTACCAGTTTTCCTATTGTCATTTTTTATTCATAAATATTGTCTTCTCTACTGATTAAATTGGAGAAATTTTCATATATATCTTGATCTGTGTAGGGATTGCCTGGTATGGCATTTATACACCATATATATAATGCATCAAAAATCCTTTTCTCTGTTGTGAACAGAGAGCCTAGTGGTAAAAGTCTCTGACTGACACTAAATCGGCCGAGTTTCGACCCTGAAATAAGACTTAATAAGACCATAGATCTCTATGCCAGTAGCCATTAATTTCAATTTAATAAAGAGAGATGTCTATTTGAACACATGTATCCACTAAATAACTTGTCAATCGCATGATAATTGTATGAGAATTCACAAAACTTTTAGTTGTGGATGCCTACCATTCTCCAAGAATTTATTGTAAAATATTAAGGCTCTGCCAGTTAATATGGGATTGAGCTCTCTTTCTCCAGTGTGCCTTTTTAGCAGACACCATTAGGAGTTATTTTATATAATGTGGCAAATGTGTGTCAGTACAGATGTGAAAGAAGCATCAGATCATATGCGGACATGTTTATTAACACCAGTTACATCCCAGGTTTTCCCTAGTTACCAGCAGGACAGCTTGGCATATCTAGATACAGGCCTCTCTGCAACAGGTCAAGATCTGGGTCTTTGTAAGATGTCTCACGCCAATATCTTGTTAAGTTGGTCCTGTGGGTATTTTGTTACTAAAGTTGCTGCAGTTTCTGGGGCAGTGTTAATTTTGTTTTTGTCACTTTCCATCTCTTTCCCCCTCTCTCACTATTATCTCCACAGTTGTTGGAAGAGTAATTGGTTAAGTGTTTCCACCCTCAACCTCAATAGACTCTTTGCTTACATTACAATAATGTATTTAGGTAGCAATCCCTGTTTTATACAAGTTTCAGTAAAAATGTCTGACAAGGTGTGGTGGTTGAGTTTTTTTTGTTTTTTTTAAATAATTACTCATGTGTTTGTATAATTTTTCTTTTCTTTTCAGGACATAAATGATATAAAAATTGCCCAAATGTTTTTCCAAGTACTTTCAATTATACTTCTTAGACATTATCAAGGATGAATTTTCTTTTACTTTTAGCTCAATATATGCATTGTTTTTAAGGCTAAAAATAATGGAAGCATTATTATTAGTTTTTATTAAAAGTCAGCAACTATTGGTAAGAATTATGAATTTTCTATTTCAATTAGCTGCTTTTAGAATAAATATAAATAAATAATTTCTAATGCCTGTGAAAATTTCTGATTTCTGATGAATCTTTCCTTCTTAAGTTAATCATTGTGTAAGCTTATAGCAAGTTTTACAACAATAAAATATCCATAGAAATTTCCCAAATACATTATTAAATCTTTGACGTTAACAACTTCAACAAAATATTGCAATAACAATCCACATGATTGAAACTGAATTGTCCATGATATATGAGGTATTGGCAGGAGACATTAAACACTTTGATCTTCTTTCATTCATTTTCTCACTGAAACCAAGTAGTGGCTCAGATATGTCTTTTCCATCTTTCCAAGTGATCGAAACGGAATCTTCCATTATATATGAGGTGTTGGCAAGGCATTACAGTCATAATAATTAGGGCAGGTTGTGGGAGTGTGCACAAATAGAATTATAAGGTAGAATTAAAAACAGAAATTGTATAATACCCAACTAATTAGTTTTATTATCTGTGAGACTACGGTAATGTCAAGTCCTAGCCATGTTAATCAAAGCTTAAATTTAAACCCATAGAAATTATTTCTATGATGCAGAGTAAAACTTACATTGTGGGCAAACTTGTGTGGAACTACCCAGTTGACCAGGATGCCATTGATATCTGCTTGATAGTAAATCCCCTTGATTGAGATGAAGACCTGGAAAAAAAAAAAATAAATAAATAAATAAAAAAATTATTTACTATTTTAAAAATATGTTCCTGTTGCTACACAGGAATTACCATCTTTCTAAACAGAAACTAAAATTTTGAATTTGATTATTAAATTAAAAATTTTAGTTTTTGTTTTGAAACATGGTAGTTCCTGTGCAGCAAAGAGACCATATTTTTAAAATAGTAAATAATTTTAATATTATGCTCTACAGTTTATATATCGAGCATGGTTTTTAAAAAAAATAAAAATAATTACTAAGAACACAGGAGTGTAAATCTGTTCTTTCTTATTTTATTTATATATATATATATATATATATATATATAATGCTATATTGGATAGATGTGAGTTTGTGACCTGGGTTTCCAATCGCTTTGAAACCCAGGGTCACAAACTCACATCTATCCAACCAAATAAGGGTGCTAGCTCTATCTCTGATATTGAGTGCTTTCTAATAAGTACCATGCATATAATATATATATATATATATATATATATATATATATTTATATTTACACTTTTCACACACACATTACATATATATATATATATATATATATATATATATATATATAGATTATACAGTGTTACATTAGAACATGCTTATATACTCACTACAAAACTATACATCTTGTTTCAATGTTAAAAAAAAAAGTTTCATCTGGTGGGGAATCACAATGCTGATGAAACAAGATGTACAGTTTTGTAGTGGGTATGTGCATGTTCTAATGTAATACTGCATAATAAATAAATATTTACGGCTCTACTTTTGGATTAAGCCCACACAAACAAAGGTATATAAAAATAAATAATGATAAGAAAAAAAAAAAACCTTCTGTGATGCATTTCATTCTAAAAAGACATTTTATACCAGTGACAAGACTTATCTTTCAAGATATCTGAGACATGGTGAAATGGATCCAAACCTTTTTCCAAGTTTATTTATGCTTAATTCAACAAAGCTGAAGCAGTATGTATGATAAAAATATATTCATTGTATGCTATATTCATGTTAAAGTGCCAAATATAAGGAAGAGAGTGTATATAAATATAAAAATTCTCGCCAGCAGTGTCCTACAAAGTGCATTCTGTGTTCACATGATTGTAGAAATATCAGGGATAGATCCATACAGCTGTGATTTAGTTGGATGATGGCTTCAGGAGATCTTAAGTATAAGTCTGCAAGTATAGGTTTTATCAATCTTAGACTCCAGGGTTTTCGTTAATGTCCAAGCAGTGGCACCATACATTAACAACACCTCTACAGTATCTGTCTATATTTCTGAAAGGAGGTATTATGTACACTATTTACATTATTCGGACTATTGTCCTGATCTTTGTTGTCACATTTATTACAACATTTCGGCCATTGTACGCTCAGACCCTTTTCAGATGGTTGGAATGTCGATCTGAACCCTTTATTTCGCTCACTGGGGTAGACTGTTCTAGTTCCACATGCCATGTTGAATAAATGTCAGTATTCAGTTGTCTCCATTTAATTCCCCTCTGCAAGTTCTCCACTGCCATAACCAGGTATTGAACTCATACTCTTTGGGTCTTGTCGGTTAAGGCAGTGGAGAACTTGGAGAGGGGAATTAACAGGAGATAACTGATAATTGACATCCATCAAACATAACACATGGAACTAGAACAGTCTACCACAGTGAGCGAAATAAAGGGTTTAACAATTTCCACATAGCTGGGACCGTAACAGGTGCTTCCCCACCCCCCACAAAATTGAACTGCTGGTAATAATATATATAATTTTTAAATGTATTGCTGGTAATATTATTTTCTTCCCAAAATTCATTATTAATATAAATTACTTTAAAAGAAAGTATTGCTGGTATTAAAACCTATTTTTAAACTTTCATAGTATTTTGAGCCAGTTTGGTTAAGGGGGGGGGGTCAAGTATTTGCCCATGGATAGGACCCTAACAGGTGCTACTACCTTGGGTCAGGGTGGACCTGGGAACACCAGCAATTAAGAAGTGGTTCCAAAGCCTCAAAACCTTTTGATTACAGTTGGATATAGTTTATCATTATACCAAGAATGTATTGTCTGATAGATTAAACCCATTTAATCCAAGGTGGCCAAGGCTTTAGCTATGCAGATTTTCACGTATTTTTCCTTTTCAAAGGCTTTTCAATTGAACCAGCCAAAATTCACAAAGGGATTTTATTGTATACAGCTACAACAGCTACTTTATCCCAGAGTTTCTACACTCAACCAAGATTACTAAAAACTATCAACCAAATATTTGAGTGACTATTCCACTCAAACCCATGCCAATTCCCCAAAGTAGCATATTTAAAAAGACATTCTTTAATGAGTGTCTCTCACTCTGTAACCTATTGCTCTCATACATGCTCAGCTATAACTGATTTCATTGTTTCACTCTAGAAATCCCCACAGAAAGTTCTAAGTGTTAATTCTAGAAGACCTGAACACAAAAAGAAATTTACATAAATACCACTTGGTCTACTTTAGTTTAACACTGTCCATCAATTTTTCTTTTCAGTTTGAAGGAAATTAATACCTGCTTATATTTCCTAAATATTATCTTAAATAATACCATAGGCATCTTTGCCAATCAATTCCCCCCTAAATAGGTAGATTTAAATAAAAGATATTCATTAATGGCAGTATGTCTCAGCCTGCACATATAAGAACATTACTGCAACAATATGCACATGTGTATAAAGACACAAATGTTTGCTTTCAAACTGTTAGTGCAACAAATGTAGAAAGGGCCTGTTCCAAGGGCTGTGAAGTTAAAACATTTTGACTTCGACTCCCCTATTTCTGGCACCTCTTTATGTAATTAAGTGAGATTATGGTCTACAAATCTCAAAGCCTATACATATGCTTCTAACTTGAGTAGGCCTATATTACAATTGGTTTATATCAAAGTATAAAGCTTTTATATCATACCTATTCATTCTTCAATATTTTCTAACAGAATTAGAGACAAAATCTTTGTAAGGATATAGAAGAAATAATTGAAATGAAAATGCCTTAATGTAAAGCTTTTTACATATATCTTTGTAAATAAGAAATAAGTACAGAATAAAAATAAAATATATGTTTTACACAGTTGACATATAATCTTTTACAGGATGTAAAAGACAACAAAAATAAAATATATGTTTTACACAGTTGACATATAATCTTTTACAGGATGTAAAAGACAACAAAAATAAAATATATGTTTTACACAGTTGACATATAATCTTTTACAGGATGTAAAAGACAACAAAAATAAAATATATGTTTTACACAGTTGACATATAATCTTTTACAGGATGTAAAAGACAACAAAAATAAAAATTCTATAATGTAAGATTTTTTTTTTACATATATAGTTTTGCAAATACAAGATAACTACAAAAAAATAAAATGACTTATAAAGAAGTTGAGATGAATTTCTTTAAAGGAAATAATAAATCTACAGTAGAAGAAATCACAATAAAAATTCTATAATGTAAGACTTTTTACTTAAAGTGCAAATTCAACTGGAGTCGGAGTCAGAGTCAGTATAGGTCTCCCATAGATACACAAATACGACAGAGGAATCATGAATCAAGAAAGAGAATTAAGTACAAGAAATATTAACAACCTAAATAAATAAAAAAAAAAACAAAAAAAAAACTGCAGCAGTAGCCGAGAAGGAAGCAAGAAGATAGTTTTAAGGCTCCAAGTTGTAGATTCAGGATTATCCCACAAGACAATAACTCAGAGAAGGAAAGTGCTGAATCATGAATTTGTTTGCATAGTAATTCAGAGTTCAATACCAAGTTTGAGTAATATAAATATAGTCAGAATCAAGTCGAAATAACATAAGCAATAAGTGAATAGTACTAAGAAAGCAATTAAGCTTTACCATGCTAATTTCTTTCTAGAATTGTTTTCCCTGACACTGTATTTTTTTGGTTTAGGGCGCAAAAACATGAACACCGACTGTTTTAAAATTGTTATAACTTTCTTTGTAGTGTACGGATAAATTTTAATTTTTGTACACTAAGAAAAGAATGGATGAGTAATATTTTGATGTAATGCATTACGTTTTGCATGCATGTTTTGATGTTGAAAACAAAAAAAAAAAAAAAAAAAAAATTGAAATGTGAAATAAAAAACAAATACATTAAAAAATACATAAATAATTGAAAGTACTTTAACTTTTATTACTCCTTGTGGAATTCTGGGGGTGCAATAAGAAGCAAAATTGTTAAGAAGGCTTTCATTTTGTTAAAAAAGTGACGTGTTTTCTCATGTTTACTTACAAGAAGAAACCAGCATTTGTTACTCTTTCTTTCACCTGACTCATATTTATTTGTATTGTTGACATGTTCTCGTTGCTGAATAAAGTTATTATTTCATCATTTATAAATAGAAAAGATAATTCACCTTTAGAAAGGCTATCAGATATATCGATTGTAACTTCCATAAAATTAGTCAAGCATACATGATAGTAGCCACTAGTGGTCATCATTGCTTTCCTCCATGTCACTAGTATGGCTATCATCTTCACTGTCAATATTCACTTAAGTAAAGCCTTCAAAATCATCAGAGTTCTAATCAAAGAAAAACTCCTGAAAAAGACTTTGTTGTTTACAAAAAATTAACATGGGTTTAATGAATATTACACCTTGTGTAGAGTCAAGAAGAATTCAAAATGGCATTGGAAAACAGAAGTTTAACCTTGTTCCAAAGCAGTAGTAGACAATTTTGAGCTTAAAATACCAGAAATAACAGTTGCCAAGTGTTTATTTATAGCAGTGGTCTCAAGGAGGTGATAGAATGCACCTAGTGCAGCTAAGGGAGAGAATTCTATGGCGACAATTTTCACCTCCAGAGTGGTAAAGTTTAATTAATAGAAAACAGCATGGACAGCAGAATGAAAACAATCTACCAGAGTTTAAATAAAAGGTTTAGTTTTTTTTAGTTTTTCATAGTTTTCCTATAGGACAAACAAAGTAAAAATATATTACTTACCTTAGTCAATGACCTTGAAGCAATGATGTAATGCATAAACTCGACTGGAAAAAAAAAAAAAAAAAAAAATGAAAAGTTTATTTCATGGATTCTTTTTTTTTTTTTTTTTTTTTATTAAACACTACCACCACCTTTATCCAAAAGCTACAAGGGCTACCAGCTATTAAGTTAAAATTACACTGGTAAATGGAGCAGAATTAATGTCACATGATTATGCTTAACTGCATTAGAGCAATAACCCTAACCAGAAATAATAAACAGTGGTGGGAAAAATCAAGTGATGTTCCCCATGGCAGGCCTTCAGAGCTGACATTTTTTCTTGCTTCATACCGCAACTGCCTCTAAATGCACCTTAAATGCAAAGAACACAAAAATGTCAATTTTGGGGACCCAATGCCCATTAGTGTCAAAACAATTTGTTTTTACTTTATAGATATACTATCTGCATCCCATCTTTTTACAGTTTCAGGTAAACAAGTTTTGAAACCAGATTTTTCCATCCTCATAGATTGGTTGCTAAATATGGTACAGGGAAAGCAGTTACTGTTTATATTGGGCTTCTAAATTGGTACCACAAATGATACCACAGATGTCTTAGGGCTAAATTTGAAAACATTGATAAATGTGGAGAAAGTACTTGGCATTTTCCCCATTGTTTATTTATTTATTTATACTAAATTTCATCCAATACAAGGCTTGGCAGTCACTCAATGATACAACTTGTTTACCATTACCATCATAGTTTCCCTACTGTCTATGAGAGAGTAGCAGTGATGCTTCGTATTACATGTCCTACAATAGGCATTTGTGGACGAAAGATTATTTTTTCCCCAGTTTGAGGGAAAATCAATGATTACTTCTATTTTCTAAATAGGTATCTTAAATAATACCACAGACATCGTAATAATTCCAGGTGGATAGAGAGAATTTAGATATGGCAAAAGTGATAACATATTCCAAATGTCAGGTGACGTATATGAAAATTATGATGTTTAAAAAATGAGGAGGGAGAGAGAACTAGAGAGAGAGACAGGAGGGGGAGAGAGAAAAAGGAAAGAGGGAGGGACGGAGAGAAAGGGGGGAGAGGGGGGAAAAGGAGGAGGAGAGAGAGAGAAAAGATGAGGGAGGGAGAGAAAAGGGGAGAGAGGGGAAAAGGAGGAGGAGGAGAGAAAAAGGGAGAGAGGGGAAAAGGAGGAGGAGAGAGAGAAAAGGGGAGAGGGGAGGGACAGAGAGAAAAGGGGAGAGAGGGAGGGACAGAGAGAAAAGGGGAGAGAGGGAGGGACAGAGAGAAAAGGGGAGAGAGGGAGGGACAGAGAGAAAAGGGGAGAGAGGGAGGGACAGAGAGAAAAGGGGAGAGAGGGACAGAGAAAAAGGGAGAGGGGGGACAGAGAAAAAGGGGAGAGGGGGAAAGGAAAAGAGAGAAAAAGATTGAGGGAGAGAGAAAAGAGAGAGAGGAGAGAAAAAGAGAGAGGGAGAGAAAAAAGGGGAGGAAGAGAGATAAAAAGGGGAGGGAGGAGGAAAAAGGAGGGGGAGGAGAGATAGAGAGAGAAAAGATGAGGGAGGGAGGGAGAGTGCAGGTGGTAATAATTTTATACTAAGAATAAATATTTCTTTATCACCATTTGGTTCAAGTATGAGTTTCTTACATGTGGCAAGTGTCACGTACAAAAATCCATTTACTAAGGAGAAAATATCAATTTAAAATGAATACAAAAATGAACAGCCCCCCCCCCCCAAGCAATGGTCATTTTTCAATTCATGCCAAATGATTGGCACATGCAATTTGGATCTTTAAAAACAGAGGTGTGAGAGAGAGAACAAAAAAGAAGAAAGAAGGATAGAGAGAGAGAGAGAACAAAAAAAAAGATAGAATGTGTGTGAAAATGAAAGACAAGATGGTGAGAGTGAAGTAAAGAATAGAGAGAGAAAAAGAAGAAGTTGCAAAGAAAGAAAGAAAAACAGAAATTGAAAAACAAAAATGCTAATTCATTGACAAAATGTCAAAATAGTTCCCAAAAATATCCGAAATCTTTTAAGTGCAGAGTTGCGCCAAATGGTAAAGAACAAATATATATTTAGTACTAGTGTGTGTGTGTGTATATATATATATATATATATATATATATATATATATATATATATAATAAAAAAAGATTAAATACTAATATTCCATGGTCATAATTTATTCCATTGGAATCGTAAATACAATCCAAATCATCAGACCTACAAATTCAAAAAAAGAAAACAAAAAAAAAAAAACTCCGGAAATAAAAACAGAATTTAGAGAGAGTGTATGAGGAGAAATTATGACCATGGAATATTAGTGTTTAAGCCTTTTTATTATATCCTTACTCTGTCCTGGACATTGAGTTCTACCTGGATTCTATCCTCTTCTTATTCTAAAAATATACATGTATGGGTATTTTTATATATATATATATATATATATATATATATATATATATACACATTTCTTTCTCAGGTGTTATAAATATAGTGTTCAATGTTATGTAACAGAGCCATTCTATATATATATATATATATATATATATATATATATATATATATATATATATATAATGATATATATATGAATATAGTGATTTTCCAAGTGTAGCTTAGATGTGACACAAGGCAGAAAGTATGGGACACCCAGTGAGGATCAAACTCACTAGTCAGTTGCAATTGTTCTAGTGAGACAAGCTTGTTAACCATTACACCACCTTGTGAATGTACATAATATCCAACATCAATGTTCATGCAAACCTGCAATCTTCAGGTGCTGAGTTATATTGTCTCCTCTTGTGTTTAACGAGCATTCAACACACTTGTTTTTTTTTTCAGGGGGTGGGGTTACAACACTTTCTTTTACCATATGCACACATAAAATGAGATAAGAACAGGTTAGAAAATAAATGTGTAGTGACTATCAACTAAGTCAATGCTGTTAAAGTCATACCTGTGAGACGTCTGCAGAGCTGAACTTTGTGCAAATGGATGTGAGAAGATTTGGGGAAACTTGCAAACAAGAAACACATAGAAAGACAATCATCAAGATCCTGCAACGCATCAGTAAATGTTGGATACCTAGAAAAGGAATTGCAAAAGAAAAGAGAAAAAAAAAGACATCCATTCAGTGAAAAGATTCTTCACAGACTAGAATTAAATCATTCAACAAAATTGCAGACATTTTTCTTTTCAAAATGTTATAATTTTGTTTGTTCCTTACAACATATGTTATGCTGTGCAATAATCACTGATAAATAAAGAGCCATTTATGCTTGATTGCAAGAGTAAAAGGAGAGAGGGAGAGAAAGGAGAGAGTGAGCAGAAAGAAAGAAAGGAGAGAGTGAGCAGAAAGAAAGAAAGAAAGGAGAGAGTGAGCAGAAAGAAAGAAAGGAGAGAGGAGAAAGAAAGAAAGAAAGGAGAGAGGAGCAAAGAAAGAAAGAAAGGAGAGAGGAGCAGAAAGAAAAGAAAGAAAGAAAGAGAGAAAGAAAGAAAAAGAAAGAAAGAAAGAAAGAAAGGAGAGAGGAGCAGAAAGAAAGAAAGGAGAGAGCAGAAAAGAAAGGAGAGAGAGAGCAGAAAGAAAGGAGAGAGAGGAGCAGAAAGAAAGAAAGAGAGAAGCAGAAAGAAAGGAGAGAGGAGCAGAAAGAAAGGAGAGAGAGAGAAAGAAAGGAGAGAGGAGCAGAAAGAAAGGAGAGAGTGAGCAGAAAGAAAGGAGAGAGTGAGCAGAAAGAAAGGAGAGAGTGAGCAGAAAGAAAGGAGAGAGTGAGCAGAAAGAAAGGAGAGAGTGAGCAGAAAGAAAGGAGAGAGTGAGCAGAAAGAAAGGAGAGAGTGAGCAGAAAGAAAGGAGAGAGTGAGCAGAAAGAAAAGAGGAGTGAGCAAAAAAAGGAGAGAGAAGAAAGAAAGGAGAGAGAGAGAGAGCAGAAAGAAAGGAGAGAGTGAGCAGAAAGAAAGAAAGAAAGAAAGGAGAGAGGAGCAGAAAGAAAAGAAAGAAAGAAAAGGAGAGAGTGAGCAGAAAAGAAAGAAAGAAAAAAAAGGAGAGAGAGAGCAGAAAGAAAGAAAGAAAGAAAGGAGAGAGTGAGCAGAAAGAAAGAAAGAAAGAAAGGAGAGAGTGAGCAGAAAGAAAGAAAGAAAGAAAGGAGAGAGTGAGCAGAAAGAAAGACATATTTTACCAGAAAAGAAGCAAATAAATAACTGACCTCTCTCTGACAATGTTGTCAAGACGATAAGTTGGACGGTTGATCTCGAGACGCTTAATCTTTGCTTTTTCATTCTTTTCTTTTGCCTTTTTAATTCTCCGCATGTAATGCTAATGGGAAAGAAAGATAAAAATAAGAAAGAAAGAAAGAGTATTAATTGCAAAGTTCAGTGGTTAGAAAGGACAAAACAAAGACACAAGATTCAAATTCATAAGAAACTTTACACATCAATATAAAAAGGGGTTGTAGCATTTAGGATAACTTTGGTTTTATTTTTTCTTATCAACTGCAATTTAGAAAATGATCTTTTGGACAAATAATTACATAAGGAACCAACCCTGTTTCCAGCATCTTTAGTCATGGATCCTACTTCCACTTGAGGTCTGGGCTGAATTTGAGCCCCAATAGATGCTCAAAGCAAGTAACCTGTTTGAAAGTGCAACCATTTATAATGATTGATGAAAACTTAAGGGTTGATGATGCAAATGTGATGTCATGTCACTCTACAAGCTGTGATGACATCCAAGGTCAGAAGTATGCAAATACACCGAGCTCTTGCTATGCTTCATAATGATGTTTGGCCTTTGATCGAAATCATCAAAGAATAACAAATGTTTTTCAAGACACTGATTGGGAAGTAGCAAAAAAAAAAAAAAAAAAAAAGATTTCTCACTTAGTTCCTACAACACAGACCCCTTTACACTAACTGCCTGACCATCTCACTGATTTGTAGCCACTTCACACACTGCTGACTGACTGCTGGTCCTTTTACTGGCCACTCATCATTATATAGATACTGGCCGAGATCCCACCCCTGCTATCCATTCACTTGTGTTCCACCAACTGGAAAAGGGGACCTTCCAGTGGCCAGTTTTTCAAAGGACTCTACTTTTACAGCTAAATTTTATCTTTACAAATTCAAAGGCAGGCTGGAGACAGGATAGCTAAAGAATCCTGGATACTGAATTGACTTAAAAAGAAAAAGAATCTATCTCTAATCTTCTAATGATGTGTGAGAAGTCGTCTTGCTAGAAAAAGTCATTTGCTTGGTTTTGGAGGTAATGAAACATAACAAAAGAAAAAACAACACTTATTCCAAAAAGAGAAATCATGCCAGATATCCATATATCACAAGCTGTATACTTCATTGGACAATATCCCAACTTCCAATTCCAACCATTAGTGTGTAGAGAATGATCATCCGATGCCTAAATCACTGCAAGAATCATAAGTGATTACCCAGATGTATACCAACAGGACATAATCAACATTGAGCATACTCTCCAGAATAACAACTACCATAGTAGGGAAAATTGCGCACGGTTTTGTTTTTCCCCCCTTCTTCTTTTGGGACATGTTTTTCTCTGGTAATGGTGCATCAGCTACACAAGAACAAGTAAACATGTGTCAAAATATTCAGATAGAGTATCTCTTTTAAAAGGACAATATGAATAAAGGTAAAAGAAAAAACTTAGCCTAGATGTTTTGTCCTCTGAGAAGAAAAAAACAAACAAAAGAAATACAAGAACTGTGATATCCAGAAGAGGCATGGCACATGGAACTAGAACAATCTGCCCCAGTGGTCTAAACAATGGGTTTGGTTTGAAATTCCAATGTAGGTTTGGTTTGTTTTACGGCACATCAACCTCAGTGGGTCAATTAATGCCAACAACTTTTTTTCCTGGTAATATTTTTTTTTCAAAAATCTATTGCTGGTAATAGTCTTTTTTTTTTCTTCAAAAAATTATCTCTGATAATAATTTAATTACAAAGTATTTCTGGTATTAAAACTCAGTTTTACACCTTCATAATGCCTTTTACCTCAGTTTTGGGGTTAACTATTTGCCCATAGTTGGGACCCTTACAGGTGCTACCACCCCGGATCAGGATGGACCTGAGAACACCAGTAATTAAGAGGTGGTTCCACGCTCTTCAAAAACTCCTGATCAGAGTCCTTGCTGCTGGATGTAGTTTATCGTCTTACCCAGGACAGGAAATTCCAGTGCATATCGCCTGAAGAAGACTGAAGTGTACAATGGGTGAAGTGTTGCAAACATGACAAAGTTGAGGACAGCAGTTTGAACAATGTAAATAGTTACAATAACTCATTTCAGAAATACAGGCAGATGGAGCAGCAGTTCAAAATGCAAATTATGAAAATTTAAATATCTAGCAAGTGCTTTAATAGAAAATGTTTCACCAAAACCTGAAAAAATTGCTAATAAAATTTTGGTAAACTTGAAATTTCAAGCCCACAAAAAAAAGAAAAAGAAAAAAAAAAATAAGGTTGGTTGGTTGGGTTTTATGGCATATCAACCACTGTGGGTCATTTAATGCCAAATTAAGGTATATATATATATATATATATATATATATATATATATATATCTATACATATATTAAATATACAGTACTATTAAACATATAGCTGGCAACATTATTTTTTCAAAAACACACAGCTGGCAACATTGTTCTTTCAAAATGCACAGCTGGCAACAACATTGTTGTTTCAAAATGCACAGCTATAACAACATTGTTGTTTCAAAAAATGCAAGCTGGCAACAACATTGTTGTTTCAAAATGCACAGCTGGCAACAACATTGTTGTTTCAAAAACGCACAGCTGGCAACAACATTGTTGTTTCAAAAATAGAGCACAGCTGGCAACAACATTGTTGTTTTGCACAGCTGGCAACAACATTGTTGTTTCAAAAATGCACAGCTGGCAACAACATTGTTGTTTCAAAAATGCACAGCTGGCAACAACATTGTTGTTTCAAAAATGCACAGCTGGCAACAACATTGTTGTTTCAAAAATGCACAGCTGGCAACAACATTGTTGTTTCAAAAACGCACAGCTGGCAACATTGTTTTTTCCAAAAAACGTATAGCTGGCAACATTATTGTTTTAAAAACATATAGCTGGCAACATTATTTTTCCGAAAACATTATCTGAAGCCTTGTTGTTGGACGTAGTTTATCGTCGTACCCAGGACACAGGAAAAAAAGAAGAAAGAAAGTGTCATAAGGACAGCTTTTTCCTTGACGCTACCGTTATTTTAACTACCTTTACTCCTTGGCAATGTTTACCGTTTTAAAAAGCAATGATTAGAATTTTAATAAAACCTAAACATATGATGAAAGTGAATTTATACATTTTTTTCCTATTGACAATCAACAATATAATAGTGTAAATAAATAATCTAATAGAGGTCATTATTTTTGACTGACATCTTTCATTCCCCCCTATATATCTGAACTATAATTATAAACTTGTTTTGGAAGTGAAGAATTTAATACAAAAATGTTTTCATCTGAAAACTAGAATATACAAAATGATGACAATATATGAGAAAAAGCAGGTGTCAGTTTAAACTGACATTAATATGTGAGATACTATACGAAGCAGTATATGAAACTATACATGAGGCACTATGCAAAGACAATACATGCTGCACTATGCAAAGACAATACATGCTGCACTATGCAAAACACTGCAATTTCCTGAAATGAACAAAGGGGGAAAAAAAAGAGCAGAACCTTAAATTCTCTGAATTTTTTGATGATTGGTTCATGTGATAAAAAGGCAATGTCTTTGACATGGTAGTATGTCCGTGGTGTTTTGCTGCCATGACCAACAACTTTTTTCTTTTTGGGTTCCTGGGGATAAATTCCTTTCAGGATGCAAAGCCGCCTGCAAGTATTAAAGGAAAAAATTAAAATATTATCTGAATAGTAAAAATTTTCAGATTAAATAAAATAATTAACTGCATGCACTTAATAAAAAATAGATGAAAGGACTTTTCAAAGAATCCTTACAGAGTAAATGATAGCAGTTTTCTGAAAGTCTGTAATCTTGGTCTTAACTTTTCAGAAGCGCTATTTCGATTTTCTAACTGGCATCCAAAACACATTCGTTACAACAGGAATGACTTTCTTTTTCTTTGCTTTCAATTCGTGTCAAATGAATATCTTTTTCAGTTCACTATTTACATTATTCGGACTATTGTCCTCATCTTTGTTGCCATATTTATTACAATGCTTTGGCTGTTGTACACTCCAGCCTTCTTCAGGTGGTTGGAATGTTGAACTGAACCCTTTATTTCGCTCACTGGGGTAGACTGTTCTAGTTCCACGTGCCATATTTAATGGATGTCAGTTATCAGTTTTCTGTTAACCAATGCCTTTATCCACTGTGCCATGTGTCCTTGAGGCAGAAACATTGTAATAAATATGGTGACAAAGATGAGGACAATAGTCTGAATAATGTAAATAGTGTACATAATACCTCATCTCAGAAATATAGACAGATACTTTTTCAGTTCAACCAGCAGGACGGCATCTAGCTTATTCTACTATAATGTTGCCAATACCTGTATCAGAATAATCCACAGGATTGTCACTATTTGTGCATATTAGCAGCAGGAGATTTTTAAAGAATTGCTGCTGCTCAATATCCTACAAAGGCCTATGGATTGTATGACAATAACTATAATAAGATGAAATTAGTAGGAGGACCTAGAAAAGGGCTGCAGATTTTCAAAGAATTTTTGCCACTTCATATCCTAGAAAGGTCTGTGGATTTACAATGTATAACAACAACAATAATAACTAGTAACCCATGAAAATTTTGTGGTTTTCCTAATTTCAAATTCTGATGAATCTTAATTTCAAATTAATGATTAAGTAAGCTGATGTGGAGTTCTACAGTAATAAAATACCCGTAGAAAGTTAAGTATGGTTAAGTATTTGAGCTTAGCAACTTTTAAAAACGTATCGCAATCATAAATATAAATACTGGTCATTATTTTAAGAAGTAAGGGGGTACAAATGAAAAGATTTTAAATTGATAACTTTTCCCATTTCCCTGAAAAAGTTGTTAAACACTACCATCTTTCTTTCTTTCTTCCATTTTCTCACTGAACTCATGTAGTCTCTCTTGATATGTTTTGTTTGTCAAAACTGAATAGTCTCTCATTTATGAGGTATTGGGAGGAGACATTAAACACTTCTATTTTCCTTTCTTTTTCTTACTAAAACCAAGTAGTGTCTTTACCCTTTATTCCACGCGATCAAAATGGAATAGTCCATTATTTATGAGATAGTGGCAGGACATAACGGTCATGCAAAATAATGAAGAGAGGGACAAGTACAGTTATAATAGGATAATATGAAATTAGTGGGAGGGCTTAGAAAAGGGCCTACTCTTGCATAACATAGAATAGCAAAGATAATAATCTAACACTTGCTACTCTTCTTATCAACACCTACAAGACCAGAGTGCCATGCTCCAATAACATAATCTTTCTGTATCAAGGAATCCCATATTTTTATTTTTAGCAGATTGTATCATTGAGACAAGAAAGAAGTAAGCATAAGATGTGGACACAGGAAAAAAAGAAAAAAAAAAGAGAAAGAACAATAGGATTTGGTCTCAGAATAGGCAAACCAGGGAAAGCACAAATTGAGAGCAACTGGCTATGGTTAAATGTAATTGACAGAAATGCCCAACAAACAGTAATGGAGAATGTTTTCAATAAACAATAAGAGAAAGAAAGGGAAGATTATGGCAAAAGTAAAGTTAAGCAAGTAAACAATATATGTAAGGCAAAGCAACAGTAATAACGCAAAAAGGTTCACAAGCTAAGAATGGTGTTAAGACGCAAAAGGGGATGCAGACAAGTGATTGAAGCACATTCTGGCTTCAAGACAAGAAAGAACAGAACTAAGTCAGAGGAAACTGAGAAGTGACCTATTGAATTGATTAAGAAGAAATTCCAGAATGCATTTGTGTTTTGTTGGTAAATTTGAGCTCAAATCTGGGAACTAATAAAACTTGTATTGTGAGGTCCTACTGTGTGTGTGCATGTATATATATATATATATATATATATATATGTGTGTGTGTGTGCAAAAAAAAAAAAATTGGCAACAGTAGTAAGGCAAAATGTTTACAAAGTAAGAATGGTGTCAATACACAAAAAGTTTATAGACAAGCGATCACAGCATTCTGACTTCAAGAGAAGAAAGAAGAAAAATATGGCAGATGAAACCAAGAAGTGGCCAATCTTATTGGTTAGGAAGAAATCCCAGCATGCATCTGTACAGTTAGTCCATAAATTTGGGGAGGGGGATGTTTGTGCAGTCATCCCTCCATGTTTGGAACCATTCAGGTCCCATTACCCTGGAACTGGAGTGTAAGGTGGAAGAAAATGTCTTGCCCTTCATTTGTTAATGTTTACTTGACAGATAGTGTGTATATGTTTTTTCTTATTAGTTACTCAAGAATTGATTGCATGACTAAAAATGGTGGTTACAATATTATTTGGCTATAACCTCTGCCCCCATATGTTGCTTAGTTCAGTGGCAAAAATGCTTTATAATACATGTAAATTTGCAATACCAGCTTGGTCTGGGAACTAATTATACTTGTACTGCGAGGTCCTGTGTGTGTGTGTGTGTGTGTGTGTGTGTTTGGTTTGTTTTACAGCATATCAACCACAATGGGTTATTTAATGTCGGCCCATTGCTAGTAATACTTTTTATTGCTAGTAATATTTTTTTCCTACAAAAATAATGTATAGTTCATATTTTTTTTTTTTACAAAGTATTTCTGGTATTAAAACCTATTTTTACATTTTCATTGTGTTTTGACCCCAGTTTGGGGGTTAACTATTTAGCTAGGGCCCTAACAGGTGCTACCACCCTGGGTCACCAGCAATTAAGATGTGGTTCCAAGCTTCTCAAAACCTCCTTATCAGAGGCCTTGCTCTTGCATGTAGTTTATTGTCATACCCAGGACGTGTGTGTGTGTGTGTGTGTGTGTGTGTGTGTGTATATATGGAAACATTTGGCAAAGCAAAAGTAGTATTAGCAATAAGTTTCACAAGCTAAAAATGGTGTTAACATACAAAAGGGGATGCAGACAAGTGATCACAGTTGGATGAAGCTGAGAAGCGATCTATTGAAATGGCTAAGAAGAAATCCCAGCATGCATCTGTGTTTTGTCTATCAATTTGGGGAAGGGGTATTTTTGCAGTCATTCCCCACACAGGATTGGAATTACCAAACTTAGAGTGCAACATGCTAGAGAGTACCATCCGAGGGTGAGAAAAGAAACTCTAAAGCCGATTTAGGCATGGTGATGCAGGCATTGACAACAATATGCTTTGCAATGTGCAGAAGAATCTGATGAAGAAAGAGAAATATAGAAATCGGAACCAACATTGTTGATGCTGCACTCAAGAATCTGTCTTCACGAAGACATTTGGAACTTCAACAAAAAAGACAAGTGTAACAGTCACAACATTGTATATGGTTAAACATGTGGTTCAAAAAAATGTTCTGTGACAAAAAGCTTTTGGGATCAAGTGACAACAAAACGGACATTGATGATTTCCAGTTGCTGGTCTATATTAAGAGTCACTTTGGATTGAAGAGGTCATTTCTGGACAGTGTCTCTCAAGTAGTTCTAACGCTGAACATTCAAGTTACCAGCTGTGCATCGTGATGTTGGAATAGGCAGAAAGTTGTTAGGAGTAAGAGTCAAAAGAGAGAGCTTATCTGTTAGACTGACATGGCAGAAGTTGTTCAAGGCGTCACCTACCAACTGAGATGGAGTAAGTGAATCTCTGAAACAAACGCTGGAATACATCAGAAACATGGTTCAACTACTCATTTCTCACTGTGGAGTTTGTTTTCATGTTTTGTTTCCTTGAGTGCCTGCAAGGGTTCCTTCCCAGTTTATGGTGCACATTAATTCAAACAAGAACACAAACTTGACATGGGGGTAGTTATTGGGTTGGTTGGTGGAGAGCAGCATGAGGGCCCCATTGTATGTTCACTGTTGGCTTTAACCATTACTACACTGCATGTGAAAATTATCACTGTAGAATTATCTCCCTTTGCTGCTCTAGGTGCATTCTGTCGCCTTCAGACGGTTGCTATAAATAAACACTTGTCAACTGTTATTTCCGGTATTTTAAGCTGGAAATCACCTACTACTGTTTTGAAAGAAGGTTAAACTTCCATTTTCCAACGCCATTTTGAATTCTTCTCGACTCTACACAAGGTGTAGCTCCAATTAAATCCGTGTTAATTTTTTGCTATTTTTTGTAAACAAAAATGGCAGCATCAATATCCCACAAAGCCTTTATTCAGGAATTTTTCTTTGATTAGGACTCTGAAGATGATTTTGAAGGCTTTACTTGAGTGGATATTAATGGTGAAGTGGTCAAAGATGATAACCACACTAGTGACGTGGAGGAAAGTGATAATGACCATGAGCAGTTACTATCATTTATGCCTGGCGAATTTTATGGATGCTACTGGTGACCATCAATATATATGATGGCCTTTCTGAAGATGAATTATTTTATCTATTTATAAACAAGGAAATAACTTTATTCATCAATGAGAACATGTCAACAAGACCTAAATATGAGCCAGGTGAAAAACAGAGCAAACAAATACTAGTGTTGTCTTGTATGTAAACACGAAGAAACGTGTCACTTTTTTGACAAAATGAAAGCCGTTTTAGGAATTTTGCTTCTTATTGCACTCCCAGAACTCCACAAGGAGTAATAAAAGTTAAAGTACATTGAATGATTTATGTGTTTTAATGTATTTGTTTTATTTTGTGTTTCAATTTTTTTTATCTATTTCTAAGACAACGTATTATGTACCTTATTTACATTGTTCAGACTATTGTTCTCATCTTTGTTGCCATATTTATTACGTTTCGGACGTTGTACACTCTGGCCTTCTTCAGGTAGTTGGAAATGTCGAACTAAATCCTTTATTTTGCTCACTGGGGTAGACTGTTCTAGTTCCACATTCCATCTCTAATGGATGTCAGTTATCAGTTATCTCCTGTTAATTCCCCTCTCCAAGTTCTCTACTGCCTTAACTGGGTATTGAACTCACACTCTTTGGGTCCTGTCACTGGATCTAACTAATGCCTTTATCCACTGTGCCAAGTGTCCTCTGCTTGAATGATGTAGTTTTAATTTTTTGTTTTCAATATCAAAACATGCATGCAAAACATAATGCATTACATCAAAATATTACTCATCCATTCTTTTCTTGTACAAAAATAAAACTATACACACGCGCAATACAAAGAAAGTTATAACAATTTTAAAACAGTAAAAAAAAAATTTTTTCAATGGAGTGACTGGGGGGGTTCAAATCTAGAAAGAAATTAGCATGATAAAGGTTAATTTTTAAAAATTTCAAACATCTTACAATGTGAATGTTGATAGGTTTTACAGCAAATCAATTCTTTTTGGGTTATTTTGGAGGCACATAGGAGTAATGTATAGCAGCTCAGATTGAGGAATCGGAGAGCTGGGTTTGAATTCCAGGCGAATCCATTACATTCATTTATGTGCTAATGCCCTTGGGAAAGGTATGAATTCTCCCCCACCCCCCGCTATGTGTAAATAGCAGGACAGACCAGGCTCTATAGTCTTGGATGGCAACTAGTCTACTGCGGAAAGAAATGACAGCCTACTGTGAAAAAAAAAAAAAAAAAAAAAAAAATCTGCCTCGTCAGTCATGTATCGAAAGATACATAATCGCCTAAGCGTATATCACACACGGCACATAACTGACTGAATGTGTCGGCTGGTACAAAGTGGTCAGGATTTTGCACTCAGAGTTCCTATTCTCATATGCACTAGCCGGGACCTTGTGCTCAGGAACACTTCTGACACACACATTTAGATACTGGGACTTTTCACTTGGGGACATTGTTGGGATGCACACTTTGGGGTGCATAGGAACACACTGCTCAAGTTTATACTTAAGTCTTCACACATCCTCATGGACCTATTTTTTGTTTTGGTTGGGAGTGTCTTCCTCCTTTGTAGTGGGATGTAATCGAAGTATAACTGGCCCCACTGAACAGATAAATTTTAATTTTATGGACAGCAGTACATTGTGCTTTCCTTGCTTATCTGCCTCCTTACAAAAAAGAAATTTCAAATTTTTTTTAACATGGATAATTTAGAGTCTGTCTATATTTCTGAGATGAGGTATTATGTACATTATTGTCCTCATCTTTGTTGCCATATTTATCACAATGTTTCGGCCATTGTACGCTACGGCCTTCTTCAAGTGGTTGGAATGTCAAACTTAACCATTTATTTTGCTGACTGTTCTAGTTCCACGTGCCATGTTTGATGGATGTCAGTTATCAGTTATCTCCTGCTAATTTCTCCACTGCCACAACCGGGAATTGAACTCACATTATTTGGGTCCTGTCACTGGATCTAACCAATGCCTTTATCCACTGTGCCATGTGTCCTTGAGGACATCTGTGTATGAATTTCTGGGTATTATAAACCTAATGTCCTCAGCAATCATTTTTACCAGAGCTCCACTGTGGATAAAGGTGTTATTTAGATCCAGTGACAGGACCCAAAGAGTGTGAGTTCAATACCCGGTTAAGGCAGTGGAGAACTTTCAGAGGGAAAATTAACAAGAGATAACTGATAACTGACATCCATCAAACATGGCACGTGAAGCTTGAACAGTCTACCCCAGTGAGCGAAATAAAGGGTTCAGTTCAAAATTCCAACCACCTGAAGAAGGCCGGAATGCTGTGATAAATATGGCGACAAAGATGAGGACAATAGTCCAAATAATGTAAATAATGGATAATTTATTTTACAATTTCTAATCCATTTGTCTTGAAGCCATTAAAGATCAAGTTAAAATGTTCAGTTTTCAGAAACAAAAAAAAAGAGACATACCTGAAATCAGGCAGTGAAAGCTGCAACCTTTGAACTGCTTTTCGTCTGGTAATGAATTGGGTTGCCTCACCCTTCTCATACTGCAAAGAAGAATAACAATTTGTCAAATCCTTGCTAACATGTGGTAAAAATGTACAAGATGAACAAATTAAACACAAAATATCTAATCAAACAATTTATTATGGGTGAAGAGCTATTTTACAAAACTGAAAATTTAAAAAATAAATAAAATTTAACCCTTTTAAGTCATATTTCCTATAAAACTATATTGCTAATATCTGCTTCCTTCCAGGATAATTGCTACAACTGATTTCTTGCAGTCAGTTTTTTTCTCCTCAAATACATACCATTCAATCATTGTTTGATTTGATTGTTGGGTTTAAAGGCATATCAAGTATTGTTAGGTCATTTCATGCCTAATAAGACTTGATTGGGTATCATGGTTTGTGTATTAAATTTAATTTGTGAATCCTATTTTAGTGTTATTTAGTTGAAAGTGATAATCTTTGTAAAGGAATTCATTTAAAGTGAATGATTTTGGTATGAAGTTCAGTTGGAGATTATTTTATTTTGTTTGTTTACTTTTTTGCCAAGATTAGTTATTGCTTAAATTTTTGTTTTTAATATATTTTGTTTTCTTTAAGAAATTTAATTATTTTATTTGGATTAATGCTGTTGAAGAGTCCATTCATATTGTCTGCCAGATAGGACTTTTCATGGACTGGACTTAAATCTATACATTTTATAAATACAGGGTGTCCATAAAGTTCATGTGCACTTTAAAAAATTTATAACTTTATTTGTATTTGTGATAGAAATAATCTGTAAAAAATGTTATAAAGTTTAATGTACCTAGTTTTAAGTATAGCTAAAATAACTAATGTGATTTCAGGCATTATTGTAAATCAGTTGGTAAATGTTTTCCGTGAACTGCAAAATCGTATTACCCTTTGTATTGCTAATGATGAAGGACATGTGGGAACTTGAATAAAATTTCAATAAAACCTTAAAAAATATAGATTTACTTCTTTCTAATCCTTTTTACAAATTATTTCTATTGCAAATACAAATAAAGTTATAAATTTTTTAGAGTGCGCACGAACTTTATGGACACCTTGTATATGTTCCACTGTATATTATTCATTATATGTTTAGCACATATGTGGATCTTCCTTTTTGAAACATGTAACTGTTGGTAATAGAAGTATGGGCGAGTCAGAGTTGAGCTTGTATTGATTCCGCTTTTCTTATTTTTCTATAACCAGTTTGCTATTCTTTGATGTTGGCTTGGATTCTATAAAGCTCATCATTTATGTGATTGCTCCATTCTTTATGGCGTTTGTCCATGATGAATTTTCTGATAATTGGTCTGAAATTTGTAGTATTTTTATGTTTGATGGGTTCTTCTTTAATGCACTACTTGCTTCATATCATTGTTTGGACATTCTAATTTCAACATTGTTTAACCTTTGTGACTGAAAAAAAAAAAAAACTGTTATTCCCTTGACGCTGCTATTATTACTGTATACACTTTCAAGTCTATTGGCAATTTCCACTGTTAAAAAAAAGATTAGAATTTAAATGAAATCCAAACATATGAAAGTGGATTTATGTTTTCTTTATTTTTGAAAATTGATAAAGATATTAAAATTTATTTATTTATTAGATTGTTTATTTACAAGAATAATTTTAGATTTATAAGATTATAAAAGTATTTAAACTAGTCATAAGGAAATATTATTTACCATTTTATAAAGAATTTTTTTTTATTCATAATGTCTCAAAAAGAAAATTTAAAGACAAGTGACTACAATTATATTAAAAAAAAAAAAGTATTTTCTAGACATTTCTTTCATTTGCTTTTGCCAATTAAATTTGCTAAAATTAAGAGCAGCTCTTCCTCTGAATAAAAACATTTATTTAATTTTACTTGTTCTATAGTTATTTATAAAATGGCAAATAATAAATATTGCATTGTAGTTGGTTAACATTTTTATAATCTTTTAGATAAACATTGTCAAGTAAAAAGTATAAATAGGGTCTACTAGGGTAAAATGGTTAAGATTCAAATACTCATATTATTTTCTCTAGAGGACTTAATGAGAAAGAGAAAAAAAAAGAAAGAAAAAGCCACAATGTTTGCACCACCAATCTCTTCTTTATTACAGCATAATAACTTGGTATCTATATGAACACATAACTCTTGAAACAAGCTTTTGTTCTGACCTTACGTTTTGTACGAAATTGGAAAGGATCTGTAGTGAAAGAGATAGTCAGGTACCTCGGAAAAAAGTTTGTGTTTTGTGTGCGATCTGCCGAAGAAGGATTACCAAAAAGTAGTCAGCAAAAATCTTATAGCGAAGAAAACGGCGACTTACCTCGTCAAACCTTTTTACAGCGCGTCGCGTGTATTCTGTGACGGAAAAGAAACAAGTCCGTCATAGGAGTCACTATAAGAGTATTTTGATATGCAAATTACGGAGCATCCTATCCCAGCTGTCGATGAATGAAAAAAATAGGTTCTGCCGATAAAAGCAGTTGGTGTTCTCAATTCAAAGGAAAGAAAATTCGGGCATTTTTGGCTACGGCGTTTGTAGGAGTGTGATTTATTTTCCTGACTGGTTACACGCATCGTGATTTAAGATAGTACCGGCGAATCGAGTTTTCAGCATTTCTTTCTGTCCCCGATACTCGAGTCTGTACTTAGTGATTTTTTTCTTTGTGTTGTGAAAGTAATCTGTGACAAATTTGCTTCGAGAACGCTTACATTTACAGGATCCCAGGATAAAATGGGTAAATAACTATCTATTATTATCCTTTGCATTACATGTGCCCTATAGCTTGAGATAATATGCTCTTACTAAACACTTTTCAATCACATATCAGTCACTTTGAGGCCAAACAATGTTAGCAAAATAGGGATTACTGTATTCTTTGGCTACACTCTTTATTGCCTCTCCAGCATCCACTTTAGGCAAGACCTCTGTCAGATTCTCCAGACTATATTTCTTTTGTTTCTTGGGTACATATGTTCGAGGCATGTTTATGAAACTTTCAGTGATTTTATTAAGCACTTTCAGCACTACAGGAAATGAAGCACATGATTTTAGAATCAGAATTGAGTAAAAAGACTATGAGTGAGGAAAACAGGTACATTTTAAACACAATGACCCTTTTCAAATGAGCATAGGATCTTACATGTTGGGTTACCCATTTTACCCCGACTACAAAAGGTTGATATTTTTCAGCAAGTGGCTATCACAGAAGTCAATACACTACAGAAAATCACAGATTGTGACTCATTGTTACTTTTACAGACACTTTTGATCATTTACAGCCTAAAATTCAGACAAAGTATTGAAGAATAAACAAAAGACACAAATGAGAGACTGACTTTATGAAGTCCTTCTCATCAGCAACTCAAAATTGAAAAAAAGAGCAATAGTTGCCTTTGTCATCAAATTTATACAGGCAAGGAGTCTGTGTACCATAATACAGGCACACAATCCAACAATTCATTTCAGAAAATGAATAAATGGCACAATCTATCATGGCTAGTATTTTGCATACCCATTTTACTACAGTAGACCCTGGCTGACCATAAAAAAAAAAATTAACCAAAATTCTGATTAAAAAAAAATATAATTTAGTAATGAAGAAATACTTTGGTCTTTCCTCTTAATAATAACAAAGATTTTGATAATAAAACTTTGTTTACCAAATCTTTGCCGGTACTTGCAGTATAAAAAATAAAATTACTACTCACAAAATGGCAGAGAATAAACTAAACAATTATATTCATATTTAGTTATGTATTTTTAAACGAACTATATCAATTTCTTGATTGAGGTTATGTATTGTTTATTGCACATTTTTAAAAATAAAGGGTGGCAGCAGAAGACTACTGCTGCTGACCTATGACAGCTTACAGAAATTTACTAATTTACAAATCTCTTAAATATAAATATTGAATTTTAAAGAAATTTTAAAATTGGTTTTACTTTTTCGTCCATGGTAAATACGAGTGATCATGCCAAGGTTAAAAAAAAAAAAAAATTGTGTAAAGTTGGCTCCCTGAGCCACGCTAGGAAGTTTTTCTCCCCTGAGTTGATCCTCCAGATATACAAATCCACAATTCGCCCTTGCATGGAGTATTGCTGCCATATATGGTCTGGCGCCCCTTCTGTTTGCCTCGGGGTTCTTGATAGGCTCCAGAGGTGGATATGCAATATGGTTGGCCCTGCCCTGGCGTCTCGTCTACAGTCACTTTCTCACAGACGCGCTGTCGCCTCCCTCTGTCTGTTCTACAAATACTTTCATGGAAATTGCTCCGAGGAGCTGCATTCACTGGTTCCCAGACATCATGAGTTCCAGCGCCCTACGAGGCTGGCATCCCGCTCTCAGCCCCTCACTGTCGAAACTCCTAAATATAGCCATCTCTTCTACTCTAATAGCTTCATGTCTCGCCTGTAGAACTCCCTTCCCTTCTCCTGTTTCCCTGTGAACTATAATCTCCAGCTATTCAAGTGTAATGACAATCGACATCTCCAGTTGCCTCGATCTATCCACTACCCTCATCCTTTCTCCTATCACTCCTATCTGATCTTGCTCTAAATTTTCTGTAACCCCTTGCGTCCTAGTGGCTTCCCGCCTTGATTGGGGTGAAATGCTTTAAAAAAAAAAAAAAAAAAAAAAAAATGAACTCTACTGAAATTTCGAATTTTTGTCAAGTCGAGCTGCATTCATTCACTCTCTAGCGTGCCTCCATCCCCCTACGGAAGCCAAAACAAAATATTTCTTAACACTTTTAAAATTCATTTTTTTTTTTTTTTTTTATCGTAATCAATCTGGAGTGTTTCAGTAGATAGTGGTATATGAAAATAAACATTTCTAAAATCTAGATTATTAATTCCATTTTATTTTATGAAAACTAAAACACGTGGTAAAAAGTAAAGAATAAAGATGATGAGCATATTTTGTTTTGGCATTCGTGGGTGGGGGCATTTATAATTAATTTACATAGCAAACTGGATAGTCCATTAACTTTTGTAAAATTTAACAAAAATAATCTGGAGTGTTTAAAGAATTTTTTAATTTATGGAAAACAAATATTTCTTGTTTGCAAGGGAGGCCTATTGCACACTACAGATCTCACAAAAAATAGAAAAAAATAACTCCACAGAGAAAAAAATTTGCTATACAATAAAACAAATATAAAATATTACTTTAATTATCAATTAATTAAAAGAAAACGCATTTTTAGTTTTTAAAAGAGCGATAAAGAAGGCTGGAGAAGTGAAGAAGAGGTTTGTTGAAAAATTAAAAAAAAGCTCGATAGAACAAAATTGAAAACGTTACCAAGCTTATATTTTTAAACTACCAAATTTTATGCGGTATTTAATTAATATAAAGCAAAGATCTTTTTTCTTAGTGATAATATATTGAAATATAAAGACTGTTATTATTTATAAATTAAATAAATACCTTTCTATCCCTCTGCATCGTGAAGAATAAATCTTAAAAAGCCCAACACGTGTCTGGAAGAATCAACCTTAATTGAGAAGAATTCTATTATCAAGGGAGATAACTAGGTTTAAATTTCAAACAGGAAATTCAAATATTGAACCGCTGAGAATTTTTTTGTGTATTTCGTGCGCGACACTTGATAAACATTTCAGTGTTTAACAAAATAGACCATGATTATTATGAGCTCGATATTCGCACACACAACTTGATGTAGATTAATAAACTCTAAACTTACTTAAATAATTTGCGTCGACGGGACGTAATGGTTGTAAATTCAAACTAAAAAATCGTAAAAAAAAAAAAAAAAAAACTTTCTTCGAAGGACATTCACATTCATTACTTAGAAACTTAGTAAAATAAATAATTTAAAAATAATGTCCTTCATTCGTTTGTGAATAAGTCCTGAAAATTTAATTAAAATCCGACAGTTATTTGATTTTTGCAAGAATTTTTAATTATGTCACCGCAAAAAAGAGGCTATATTTGCGATGCTAAAAAAAAAAAGTAGTACACCCACTGACGCAAGAAAAACAAATTTTTTAATCAAAATTCCGAATGTTTTAAAAAGGTATAGAAAAAAAATATTCAAAAAATACTTTGATCCTTTCTCTTAAAAGATTTTAGCGATAAAACTGTTTTCATTACATTTTTGCAGCATTTTCTCATGGTATACAGATTTTTAGTGATTTCGTGAAGGTAGTTCTTTTATTTAATAGAAATTAGCTAAAAATAGGGAAATTATTTTTGGAAATAATTTTTATGGATTAGCATTCATTATTAAATCTTCCTTAGGCACTGGTCAAAAAATGAAAAAAAAAAATTGGTTTTTTTATCGATTTGGACGACAATATAATAGTTATTGTTTAACAAACATACTTTTTTTCCAAACTGAAAGAAAAAATCGCTGCTCCTAGTTTTAAAAAAAATTGGCAAAAACTCAGGAAATTGCCTGATTCAAATAGAATTTTCAGTATTTAAGGAAGGAATTGTAGTGATTTTCCAAGTGTAGCTTAGATGTGGGACAAGGCTGAAAATATTTGGCACCAAGTAAGGATTGAACTCACTGCTCAGTCATAATTGTTCTAGCAAGACAAGCTTGCTAACCATTAGACCACCTCGGGTTACCCCTAATAAAGGAATTGTAAACCAAATATTAGAAAACTTTGTGGAAATATTTGTGGTCTGTCCCACCCTTCCACCGCTTTTTCGATATATCGTGTATACTTGTAATTTTGGGGTTACTTAGGAAATATTTTTATTACAGAGATATATAAAGAAGAATCCCTGAAGATCTTATTGCAGTAAAAATATTATGCAATAATTCCAGTCAAATCTATTGCATTCACTTACGTGTTAATGCCCTTGGGAAAAGTATGAATCCTCTTTTTCTTCCCCTAGCTGTGGGTAAATAGCAGGACAGACTGGGTTCTATAGCCTTGGAAGGCAACTGGTCTAGGAACAACTCTGAATTCAAAACCTGTGGAGGGGCGTTTGGGGACCTTGTGGCAGGTCTCTGTATTCGACCCTTCAAAAAATGTGGATGTTTCTGCACAAAAACTTCATCACTATAATCAAATCTCATGTGCTATTGTCTGGGCTGTTGGTTCCTAGGAACTGAGCTGCTTGACCCCCTCATACGTCAGATATGACAGGAGAGTACACCATATATATATATATATTTTTACATATATATATATATTTTTACATATATATTATTTTATATGTGTAGTACCTATTAGAAAGTGCTCAATATCAGTGATAGAGCTAACATATTCATTTGTATGGATATGAGTTTGTGACATTTTTACCATTAGACTTTCATTTCCATCATGATTAGGGCTAAACTGACATTTTTACCATTAGACTTTCATTTCCATCATGATTAGGGCTAAAGTGACATTTTTACCATTAGACTTTCATTTCCATCATGATTAGGGCTAAACTGACATTTTTACCATTAGACTTTCATTTCCATCACAACCAAACATAATCAAACACAAGCATAAATAGATTCAGTTTTTAAAAAATAACCAGTTTGTCTGATGATCGCAAAAGCATGAAACCCAGGGTCAGCAGAAAATCATATTCATATTTATTTGAATGAATATATATATATATATATATATATATATATATATATATATATATATATATATATATATATATATATATTAAATTAATAGTTGCCCTGGTTTGACATTGAACTCTGGATTACATCTTCCTTGGGATTATCCATACGGATTACCAAACTTTTTTATTAACTATATATATATATATATATATATATATATATATATATATATATATATATATGGACAAGGAGCTTGAGAAAAGGAGATTTTAAAAAACAGTGGCTCCTACTGCTATTAATGCATTACTCTTCAAATATTAATTGAGTTCTCCTGACGTATCTCCTAACGAAAAAACATTAAAATTTCTCTTCTTTTCTGCTGTGACAATGGCCTAGGGGTAAGATATTTGACTGATGTCAAATCAATTGGGGTTTGATCTCGGCTTGAAGCAATCCAACGTCTAGTCACACTGAAGAGCTGTGAAACAGCAGTCTCTCTGTGGATGACACTATATATATATATATATATATATATATATATATAACTGTGAACCCCTAAGATAATTAAAAAGTAGTCTCTTTTTTTTTCTTCTGGATAATCAACAAATTTTAATTAAACCATATACTCATTAAGGAAAACCTTTTATTAAAAGAATTACAACCACTTTGAAAGATTTTTATCAAACTGGAAAAAAATATTAATTAAAAATTCAGATTTGTAAAAGTAAGAGAAACCTTTACATTTGGTGACTCATTCTTTTATGGTCACAACGTTGACAAATCTTTTTCTATAATTTTTAAGAAGTTTCTGGCTATAGTGGGCATTATTCTTCTGGTACATAACCTTCACATTCCTGTGGGTCATTCGAACAAATATTACTTGAAGAAAACTGGAGCATACGCCCGAAACATTGTTAATAAATTAAATTGACATATAAAAAAAATAATTCAATAAAACACACTTGTTTTTAATTAGCATCTGGCATTGCAAGATCGTGCAACTCATTGATATTTTCTAAACTAAGTGGTCGGAAATCATTTCGGACGACTTTGTTGTGCCAATTTCACAAGTGTAGAAAAGTTATGCGCAACTGTGTCAATTATTAGACTGACGTTTTTTCTACCTAAATTTCTAGGATGGGTTGTCATCATTATTTACATATTGACTTGTCCTCATCTTTGTTATCATTATGCTACAGCTATTGTGCCATCTGGTCGTCATCAGGGGTATATCAATCTGGGTAACCTAAAGGGAATTTTGAACTAAACCCTTTATTTCATCCAGTAGTGCTATTCGAGTCGTCAACATTGAAAATGCATTATGTAAAGTATAATCGAGTTTTTTGCTTTTAATTATTTTTTAATAAAGTGAATTGACATATATAAAAATTGACATATATAAAAAATAATTCAATAAGACACACTTGTTTTTAATTGTTTTTTAATAAAGCAAACTGAAAAAAGTAAAACAAAATGAAGCATTTTTTTGTTTTTAATTATTTTTCATAAAGTAAATTGACATTTTAAAATATTTTTATTTTATTGAATTATTTTTTATATGTCAGTTTATTTTATTTTAAAATAAATTTCTTTACAATTTACTTTATTAAAAACTAGCAGTAGAGCCTAGAATTGCCCAGGGATGTAACAGTAAGAGATAGATCAAGTATCGACCATCATAAAGACTGAAAAATAAAATTGACAAAGATTATTGTTTAAGGCTGACGGACATGCATGTCTTAATTAGTTTTTTGTTTTTTTTACGAATTGGTCAAACCCAAACTGAAACAAAAACATTGTTTTCAATCGTTATGAGTCTACCGATTGAATAGAATTTTATTATAAACAATTGTCTTGTAAACGGAATTTTGAAAGCATTCTGAATGTAAAAATAAAGAAAAAAGTGTGCAAGACAATAAGAAACACTACCTGCCAAAAAAAAAATAAAAGGTGAAGTTTTGTTGAAATCGGTTGAAAAATGTAGGAAATCCGATCCCATATATAAACGAACATAGATACAAACACACACAAACCTGGGTTTTATAATAAGTATAACTCAATATGAGTTGTCCCCCTTTCATTCTCGCATCAGCAATGACTCTTAATCATGTTTTCAAATTGATTTCATGCAAAAACAATTGCGTTTTTCCAATTTTTGGCACTGTCAGAACCACCACAAGGTAATTTTATGTAGTCCTGTGAAGTTTTGTTGAAATCGGTTGAAAAATGTAGGAAATCCGATCCAATCTATAAACGAACAGACACACACACAACCTAGGTTTTATAATAAGTATATGATAATTAAAAACAAAAAAAAACAGTTTATATTTTATGTAATGCTTTACTTGAAGAAAAATATTCATTAAGGTTTTAATCCTTAATAAATTACTTTTATTTAGATATAAAAAAATGAGGTTTTCTGGTGCTGAACTGCATTGGCCTTGAGTTGTCTTAGTCCTGATGCTAAGTCGGCGGTGTTGAGTTGTCCCTTTCCAGATGTGGCTTCCCTCTGTCTTTTCTACAAATATTTTCAAGGCAACTGTTCTGATGAGCTTTCCTCCTTAGTACTTGAACTGCATGAATTTAAACATTTCACTAAATTGGCAACAGAGTTTCACTGCTGAACTGATCAACTATCAATTCTAATTGTTTCTTTTCTTGTACTTCTTGCCTGTGGAACTCCCAATTTCTTCTTTCTCTACCACTTACAATCATCAAAAATTCCAATATAATGTCATTTGCCATCTTCTGTCTTCCAGAATCCTGTTCCTTTATAGTCTTTTTCCTCAGTATTCTCATTCACTTCCACCCTTAGTAACCCCTTGCATCTTATTGGCTTTATTGCCTTGCTTGGGATGAGAGAATTAAAAAAACAATTAGTGAATTGTTTCTGAAAACTGCAATT